GTTCGATCCCTGGTACCGGTAAAAAGGAAAAAGACAAAAAAAAAAAAAAGACAGAACAGAATGAAACCTAACAAAATTGTGAAAACATTACAAGAGTTCAAGACAAGACAATAAGAAATTAACATTGGTCACCACCTTCTCCTTTTAGGTGTTTCCTCCTTTATCAGTTTTATAGTATCTATTGTATTTTTGAATCCCACTAACGCCTTCTGTTTTTTATGCTAGTGTTCACATTGCATGAGTTCAAATTGTTTCACCCATGAACATGACCTCCAGTTACATCCACTTACCTATAAAAACATTGAGATTATTCTACTTTCCAATGGATAGCTTTCCACTGTATGAAAATACCACATCTTTCTTACCCATTCTGTGATTGATGGGCAAATTACCCCTGCTGTTTTCTGGTTTCCTGTTGCATGGAACATTATTTTCTCTCCTTTGACTTTCAGTCTATGAATTTCCTCAAATGTGTTTAAATTAATCTGTTTAAGTTAATCTGTTTCTTGTATACAACCTGGTGTTGGATCTTGTTTCTTGATCCACTCTTGCTGTGTTTTTTTTTAATTTTGAATTGAGTCCATCTACGTTAATGGTTACAGTCAGCATGCATTGGCTTGTCTCTGCCATGCTGTCTTCCTGTTGCTGGTCCTCCACTTTTCCCCTTCATTCAATTGCCTGTATTGTTTGGCAATCCTCCTCTGCTGCTGTTCTTGGAACCATGGTCATCTTTATCTCTCTCTAGAATATTCTTTAGAACTCTATGTAGGGTTGGTTTGGTAATCATGAATTCCTTCAGTTGTTCTTTATCATGCAAGTATCTTATTTTTCCATCAGTTTTGAAAGGTAGTTTTTCTGGGTAGATCAATCTGGCTTCGAAGTTGTTTTCTTTTAGGGTTTGAAACACTTCACTCCATACTCTTCTTGACTTGTTGGTTTGTGTTGAGAAGTCTGCTGTGATTCTAATTGGCTTTCCTTTACAGGGGATCTGTCTCTTTTCTCTAACAGCTTTTAATGTTCTGTTCTTGTGCTGAATTTCTGGAATCTTGATTATTAGATGTCTGGGTGTAGATTGACTTTGGTTATGGCTAGTTGGAGTCCTATATACCTCACTTACCTGAATGCCAGATTCATTTCCCATGTTTGGGAAGTTTTCTTCTATTACTCCTGTGAATATCCTTTTAATTTCATTTATGTTGACTCCTGCTACTTCACCGATGCCTATCACACATAAATTATGCTTCCTTGCATCATCTTGCAGCCATTGAGTTGTTATTTCCTTATTCTGTGTTATTTTTAAGAGATCTTTCTTTTCATGATCACTAGCTGCAATCCTATCTTCAAGGTTTGAAAGTCTGTCTTTAGTCTCTTTCAAGCAGTTTTGCCAGCTTTCAATTGACTTCTTAATTTCCTGGATCTCTCTTTGAATCTGTTGCATGCATTGTAATTCGTTTCTACATTCATTCAAGGTTTCCATCATTTTCCTATGCTCCTCTTTTTTGGTCTATGTCTTGTTTAGACCTGCTGAACAATTCTTTCAGTATGTTTGTGATTTCTTCTTTTACCTGAGACATTATTTCTGATTTGACTGCTTTTACAATCTCGTGAAGTTGTTTCCTTTCTTCAGTTGGTATCCTCTCAGAGATTTCAGGTGTGTGACTTCCATTTTCTTCCATGATTGTCTCTCCCAGACTTACTGTGTGTGGGCTAGAGGTCTGAGTTTGCCTTTTGCTCCTTCGTTTTGACATTCTCCTGGGTTCCTCCCAACAAGCTGGTTGTGGAGCCCTCAGCACTTCCCACGTTGGCTGCCCCTAGACAGTGTAGGGAGATGAGACAGGCACCTGGGTTTCTCTAATTCCAGATTTACAGGGAGGTAGCAGGGCATGAAGCAGGCTTCTCCAGAGCTCTGCAGCTACTGTGGCGCTTCCCTGATGATCAGGGGTGCATGGAGGTGGGTCTACTTCTCTCAGCCTGTGTTTCTACACTGGAACTCCCAAAATGGTGGCAGACACACAGGGGTGTGTTTGTCTGATTCTTCTAGTGGCTGCCTGAGGGAACCAAGGGCTTCCAATGGTGGCCTATGTGTGCACACGGCTTACCTGGCTGTATATCCTTGCTTCTACTAGCTGCCTGCAAGAAGGAGCCTTCCAGTGGCAGCTCCCTGAAGGTGAAGGTGGATCTGTTGGCTGCCTTCAGGCTGCCTTTTGGCGGCAGCACATAGCAGACAGAAATGGATCTATCAGTCTCCCGCAGCCTGCACTGGGCACACAGAAGAAAGAGCCTCCTGGTAGTGGTACTGGGCAGGCAGAAGCAGATCTTCTGGCTCTCTCTGCGCATGCTGGGTGCGTGGAATAAAGGGCTTCCAGTGGCGGAGCCTGGCAGGCAGATGCAGGTCTTCTTGCTCTCCCTGCCCGTGCTGGGCACACAGAGGAAAGGGCTTCACTATTCTTTTCATCCATATAAAGGTTAATATTGCTTAGTGGTTTTCAGATATATAAACCTGCTAGAATTTTTATTGAAGACAATTGACATACTGAAACTTCTGAGTCATAATTGTGAATATTGCTCAATTTCTTTAGATCATTTTTAATTTACCTAATTACACAAATAATAACTACTTGTTAAACAATTAGGAGTTTTCCTTCCTGAGAATCACATAATAAAACTTGTCTGAGATGAAGTGTTTGAAAAGCTTAATCTAAAATGTAGAATTGTATGCAAAAATTGTGCACATATACTTAGAATTAAATACCGATGGTCAAGTAAGAAAAATAAGATTTAGCTGGATGAATTTTAAACTGCAATGTGAAGCAAAAATATCGGAGAAGATGAACCTAGAGCCCTCTGCACATGCTGCTTTGGCCTAGGTTTCATTTGCCTTAAGGCTTAGGTATTGATTCCCTCAAAAGAGGAACTCGCCAGTGATTTAAACAGTCAGTTCCAGTAAAACATGGTGTGTATTAGAAAAAGTTGAGAATGAGCAGGATCCTGTGTGAAGGTGAAAAAGTTTCCAGACTGATGCTGGCCTATGAGGGCAGGGGAAATACTCTTAGGAGAAGGAGTTCAGCAGATAGGACACCAGCTAGGAAAAGCCAAACCCAGACAGAGTTAGGATGATCCAGTGAAGTACAGGATAAGATGAATCCTGGGGCTGGGACCTAACAAAAAGCTAGGCCGCAGATGGGGAAAAATGGCCAAGGTCAGCGCTTCGGTGGCCTGATGAACTAGGGTCCTGCATTAAACTAGCGAAATCTACCTGTGCAGGAATGTGGTAATGACAAGATGATACACAGCTAGAACTACCAACCATTTATTCATATCCCCTGATGAGTACCTTTGTTCTGTTTGTGTTGCTCATTTTAGAAAAGTTATGATTAATGATTTTTGCAAAAGTATGTTTGCTACATACCCCAAGTTTGTATAAGCTCACTTCTAGTCAAAATTTCCTGCTAAACTTGGCCCAGAGTGGTTTAAGATGTCATTTTTATATAGAAAAACACTTAGCCAAAATATCCCCTTGGCAACTTTCTTGGATACCCTCATGGTACTGGCAACCTTCTGCTTTTGCTCTCCAATAAATGCTTTTGCTCATTTCTATCTTGATTATCTACCTTGTAATATTTTTCTGGGTTGAGAGAGAAACCCACCAGCTGGATGATAACACAATGGAGTTACAAGAAGTTAGGATGCCCCCTTAAGAGTTGTCCTGCCTGAGACAAGAGTGCCAGGACTTTATACAACCCCAAGAAATGATCACTGGGATAAAATTTCCTTGTATCTGAAAAGGATGCACGAATTTTGATGAAGTGGCTTGGCCTGCCTGAGGAAAATTCCCATGAAGGTAGTCAGCTGGGAAAATGTAACTATAAGTGCTCCCAGCAATATGGGGAACAGGTGTTTCTGTCCTGGAAGGAATATCAGGTTGGCTTATCAAAGCAATATATATCACCCAATGCACATTCATTGTATAATGAGTTTACCTAGTCTGCCTTTCCTAGTTACACCACAGCTCATTTAAAGATTTCAGGTAATCCTTACAATCTCCCTTGTTTTGTCATTTTAGAAAAACATTTATGTCAGTCAGTATAGCTCAGCTCATAACAGATAACATTTCCTCTGAAATGTCTAAGGCCTTATTGTATTGCCATGACCAGGTCAGACTAGGAGTCCCCAGGCTGGCTGTGTGGTATTCCTAAAACTGAGATAAAGAATCTAACCTATTTTTTGTAGAGTAAGTTTATATGCTCACTGACTCCCATTGTAGAAAATGAAGTTTTCAGGTCATGTCAGTAAAACAGATGGCAAAGGTTTATTCGGAAGGGATTTTAGTATGTATTCAAGAGTGGAGTATAAGGACTCAGGGAAATGAGCCCCACTGTTTGGAGCTGAGAATATTTAAATATTTTTTTTTTTTGTTTTGAAACAAGGTCTCACTACGTAGGTCAGGCCTGTCCTTGAACTCACTATGTATCCTAAACTGACCTTGAACTCACAATGATCCTCCTGCCTTAGCTTCTTGAGTTCTGGGATTACAGGTGTGCACCACCATATATGATTATTTATATATTTTGGAGGATGGAAGTCGTGGAAGACTTGGTCTTCGTCTGGTGGGTGAGCTGCGGGATGGCTATTAGATAATCTTTGTGTGTTTTGGGTGTGTTCTAATTTACAGGTGATAAGGTCAGTCTGTGGCCTTGGTTTTGTGGAATGACCCACTTGCAGTAAAATAATGGTCCACTCATATTGAAAATCCTAATTTGTAGATGAAAAATTAGTTTACTCATAGGTAAAAGACCGTTTGCAAGTTAAAAGGGAATGATTAAATTCACTTTTGAGTGAAAGGGAATTTCCCAGGCTTACTTTGTTCTGGGAGAAAGAAAAAAAAATAATCATGAATAAACTGGGTTTATGTCCTGAAATCACAGCTTTCATTTTTAAAATTACGATTTTCCTTTCTCTTTTTTATGCTTACTTTTTTTTCTTCTATCCTATCTCACTAGCCATATTACATTTGTCATCTGACACCAAGATTTGGCCAAGGAAATGCAAATGCAAGATTCTGTGATCATGGAAAGGTATGTATCTCCAGTTTGCAACAGTTGTATACGTTTTTGAAAATGCCCTAGATTGTACTGTTATTGGATTCTGGGATGCTCCTTCCAAAGATGCTAAGATGCTTTCTAAGGTCTTGCTATCCTGAACAAAGGATTGGTAAAGACAAGCAAAAAGACAGCAAGGTTTTACATTTGTTAAAAGTATTAAAGACAGAAAAAGAAATGTGGTCTGTTGAGTCAGTGTGGGTCAATTAGCAGTAAGAAAAGAAATATGCTCTACTGAGTAAGAGTGAGCCATTAAGGAAGCTTACTGTGGCCAAGAGCTTAATGGCAGCCATATTTTGTATCTCTCACTCTTCATGTTGATGTCAGATCTAGGCTGTTCTGTCAAAAACCTACTTGGTCTCTCTTGAGAAGAACTGAAGGTAGCACTTGCTGACTGATCTCATGTGCTGGGCTCTGAGGACTGCTTTTCTGAGTATACGCCCTGGAGCTGCCTGATTCACTGGTCATACCTACTTGTTCAGCAGGTTTGCCATGCCCTTATCTCCTGTTTCACTTTCCCCCTGAGAGATATTAACTCCCATAATTCTTTTTTTTTCTTTCTTTTTTTTTTTTTTTTCCGGTACCGGGGACAGAACTCACGACCACCTGCTTGCAAGGCAGGTGCTTATGCCACTGAGCTAAATCCCCAGCCCCACTACCATAATTCTTTATAGGTTGCTGAGGGCATGGCAGCCTCTGTCCTCATATAGCTACTTCTAACTGAAAGGGGTTATGGATCCTGTTTATGGGGGATTGTGCTTTCTCCAACAACTTTGGGATCCTGGGATGCTGCAGCTCACCAGCAAGGTCGAGAAAAAACCGTCAGAAGACAATAAGAAAGGAATTAGTGTCTATATGTGGAGAAGTGTTGAAATGCCTGTTTAATGGGAGAAAGCTTGGTGAATTTGTCAGGGGAGTCATGGGTTACTGTCTGAATCACCATCTGAAGCCTTGAATAGGTCAACTCTACTAGTGGGTTGAGGATGCAGAGTCCAAACTTGATGTGGAGCATGTCAGAATATTTCCCAATCTGTCTAAGAAGGTGAATTATGACAGATCTGGCAATTGGAGACATTAAGTTTTATTTTTAATTTTTTGGAGTAGATAGCATGATGAAAAAAGCAGATAAATTATCAAGAGCCTGAGAACAGTAGCGTTAGCAAGGTTGCCCATAAAAACAAGAGCCTCAATACAGTGCTAAGCTGATTACTTATCTGCACCCAGAATAGTACTAGAGTCTTGCCTTTTGAAGAGAAGCCTCAGATGTTCCAAAGATTCACAGGAGTAGCTGTCTTTTAACAAAGGAAATGGTCTGAGATTTTCAGGATTATTGTAAATACATAGTAGGCAAGCTTTGACAACAGATTATATGGTCCCTGCTAGTCCAAGTCCTGTGAAAATCTGAGCAACCATTTCCCATGCTTCATAAATGGAAAGAACTGTGAAGGATTTTTACAACCTTCTGCTGTGTCCCTTAAGGAAAGACCAATTAAATGGTTTTCAGGAACTGACAATAAGGCTTGGGTTTTGAGGGGCTATAAGGCTGCTTTTCTTATCTATCAGAAGAATTAAAATTTCCAGAGGAGACATCACACATGTCTCTTTGGTGTTCTTTGCAATGAATAACAGCAACCTGCTTGGGAAGAGAAGTTGCCTCCAATTTTACTAGTAAATTTCTCCTAGTAAGATAGTAGGATCTAGTAGGAAAATTAAAGACTCTTGGTTATACATTTGACCTTCAAGTTGGCATGTCAAAGGAAGAGTAAAGAAGCCCTGACTATGGTTTCTCTCAACCCCAATTATGGCTTTAGATGTGGAGGAGAGATTTCTAGAGAAGGAAGGTAAAACAGTACTAAGAATGTATTTAATAGTGTATCAGTAAAATGATCATAAAATTGATTTTTTAAGTAATTGATGGAGTATCAAGAGAAGTTCCATTGTTTTAACTGAATTTCCAAGTATGTAAATTATACACTAAGTAATTTTAAGTGCTCAGTTGTTGAAATGACCAGTAAGATTAAGGTTTAGTGACAAAACAACTTTAATACAAAGGAAAAATATAGTAACAGCAAAAAGAGAATATACAAGAAGAATTTAGAGTTCTTAGAAGCCAGTGCTTTGATCTATCAACCACTGGTTAGACATAAGATATGCACTGTCCCTAGGTCTCAAAGAACCATCAGTCTGTATGTGAAAAACTTCAGTTCCAGAAAACTCCAAATCTGCTCGTAGTAGAGTTCTTATATTGAATTGGACGCTTAAGTGTTCTAGCTATGCAGCCAGAGTTCATCTTCAAACTCCCCCATCCCTAGTTTCCACTGAAGTCAGGTTAAAACAATAAAATACATCACTAAGAAATGCAAGTAATAACATTGTTCTGAAACAACAAGTAAACTTACAATTTTAGAAAGTCAGTTTCTTAATATATTCTTTTTTTTGGCACTGAGAATTGAACTCAGGACCAGGTGAACGCTTGCCAGGTGAACACTGTGCCACTGAGCTACATCCCTGGCAAAGTTAATAGATTCTCTAATCCTGAGCAAGTGTAAACAACTCTGGAGATAAGCAGGGTCAATCTAAATCAGATGAGATTAATCTAATACTAAAAACAAATATATTCTGTTTATCATCTGTACACCCTCCAGAAGATAAGCGTAAGTTACCCAAGATATAGACAACTTTCTACCTACTAGTAGTTTAATATGAGAAACCCAAATATTAGATATCCTTGCAATTATGGTGAAGTAGCAAAGGACATATCATCAATAGAAAATTAGAAAATATGCATGGGACACATTTTTTTCTTTTTGGATTTTTAGAGAATGGACATAAGAAAATCAGCGAGGTGAGCTCTGATTTCCTCAGCTTTGTGCCTGGAGACAAATTGTTTATTATGGCCAATCAAATAAAGAATAGGACTAAATCTCAATCGAACTGAATTGAGAAGACCTAGTAGATTCAGAGAGATAAAGGCGCAGGAAAATTCAAGGCTAAATCCTTGAAACAAGGGAGTTATTAAGAAAAAGAATTCCAGAAATATTCAAACAAAGATCCTTGAAAATTTTACTACTAAATTGTGCTTGGATATAATGACACTGCAAAACTGGGCAAAGAATTGCCAATGAGTCATATGACCAAAACTTGACAGAACTCATACAAAGCAGAGAAATACTCAAACATGAACCAGTCAGAGTGTAGAATTCTTGGTGATTTCACAAAAAATTCAGTGGTGCCCTTAGAAAGGCATACCATAAGACTGGGCTTGATCTATTATTTCAAGGTTACATAAATGACATATCAAAGCTTGAAAACAAGATGCTGTTGCAATAAAATCAACTTCAGGTAACAGCAGACAATCAAAATTAAGCCTAATCATCTATATTTTGTCAATATTCTGACATAAATTCAGATATCCAACAACATAATAACTCAACTTTCAGTATCTAATAAAAAGTGTTACCTGTGGCAAGGAAGAAAACCAGGAGAAAAATCAATAACCAGAATGAGATGCAGAAATCACAGAGATGCGAAAATTAGCATAAATAATTTATGGAGACAAGCATAGAAAGAAATGAAACATGCACAAAAGAACTAAAAAGTGCATCTCAAATGCTCATTTGAGTGGATGAGGAAGCTGTAGATGTAGCTACTATCGAAGGTAAAGTTAGCCAACCTGAAGAAACAGGAATAAAATCTTCCTAAAACTAAACGCAAAGAAAAAAAGGTGAAACAGAAATTAAATGACTTAAAAAAAGTGATCAATTAATTTAATATATAATTTGAATCCCAGAATGAGAGGAAGAATTTCAAAAATAAAATATTGGAGAAATATTTCCATATTTGATGAAAACTATAAAACCAGAGCACCATGAAATAGAATGAACTTCAGGAAACACACACACACACACACACACACACACACACACACCCTCCCATATATATATGAACCTCATCATGGCATATCACAATAAAATATGGAAAAAAGTGGTAATATAAAAATTCTGAGAAATGAAAGCAAAATTTCAAAAAGATATTTGTATACCCATGCTGATGACCATAATATTCCTAGTAGCTAATAAGTGAAAACAACCTGCACATCCATCAACATATTAAACAAACAAAATGCAGTATATGAATACAGTAAACATTATCAGCCTTTAAAAGGCAGGAAATTCTGATATATGCTACAAACATGAATGAAACTTGAAGATGTTGTGCTAAAGGCAATAAGCCAGTTACACAAAAGCAAATACTGTATACTTCCATGTATGTGAAATTCAGTAGTAAAATTCTTACAAACTCTTAGAGACGTAAACCAGAATGGTGGTTGCCCAGAATGGCAGAAGGAAGAAATGGGGAATTATTGCTTCATGGGAAAATGATTCAGATTTGCAAAATGAAAAGTTATTGAGCTGGTTGGTGGTGATGTTTGCAAACAACTGTAATATACTTTAAATACATTATCACTGAGCTTTACACTTAAAAACAATAAAGAAGTAAATGTCATAGTATATGTGTTTAATGACAAAAAAGACAAGATTCTTTAGTATTGCTTATTTTAATGTGTGAATAAGATGTCAGTGTTAGTCAGTATTAGTGTGGCACAAATATACTTTATTTTTAAAGTATTTTATATTTCAATTGAATAAATCTTTATGAGAAGGACTTTAACAACAAACAAACGTTGCTTTCTGATGAAATGCAATGCTCCCATTCTATTTATCTTTTCATCGTGTGTTCCCCCTGCTCTGAGATAATCATATAATTAACTTTATTAGTCTTTTTTATCCTATAGATTCTAGTATTTGACAAATATGCAATGTGATACATACAGAAGTTTATGGTAAACCTGTTTATAACTATTCCATGCTTTCTATAAGCTAAGCATAGCAACAAACAACAAATGCATAGCATTTTCTGTTTGCTATAAATCACATCCAAAGTCATAATGGAAAAAATAGAATCTGGATTCAGATCCAAGATCCACGTCACTCTCAGTTCTGTGCTTTTTACACAGGACTCACCTCCTCAGACAGGGTCACTTCTGTGAATTCCTTCCTTGTTTTTCAACAAACCACGTATTTTTCTCCATGTCATATATGCCTTTGTATCTTTTGTACCTCAAAAATCAGTAAGATAAATGTCTGAATACACCATTCACCACACATTTTCTTACTTTGAATGTGTAGTATGTGCACAGTAGTTTCTTTGAAATAACGATCTCACACTTTATTTAGCAAGGGAAAAAAATCATTGTTCATTTTAATGAGCTAATCCAGCACCTAAAAAAACACAACCTACTAACAGGTTATAAATCTACATTTGCAAAAACTACTGGCACAAAATGTAGAAAGGATTGTTCTCTGTGTACAGTATTAACAAGCAAACTCGAGAATAAATCCAAGGTTTTAAAATAAGAGAGAGTGTAGAGGGTTTATAATATGATCATCAGTTGTCTGAATTCTATCATGTGGTCAAAACAAATTATTTAATCTTTGAATTTGTTTCCTTATCTTTGTAGCGGAGATGCAGATTACAACCTGATAGCCAAATACATATGGGCATACAAGTACAGATTCTCAGGTTCTTTTCCAGATGATGAAACTGGAATCTCCCAAAGTGATAATGAAGGAAATTCAAATCTTTTCTAAGGAAATTGGGTTCCTCTAGGACAATAAATGAAAAATAACAATTCCAAGTAACACAAGAAATACAGAAAAATGACTGCACAAACTATCACCCACACACTCTAATTAGAGGTTAATAATCAATTGCAAGTGTTCTTTCTCCAAAGCCATTGACAGTGCTTCCTCATGGTGCCATGTTCATTTCCTTACTTCTATTAGTGCATTTCTTCTTGCTCGTCCACCCTGCAAAAGAATTTAAGCAAATCTATGCTTCCTTACACATTTATATTAACATCAAAAGTTTTAAATGAGTTAAAATAATTGGAATATGTACAATCTACTAGTGTAAAACTTATAGAAAATTTTTGTGGGCCTGGCTAAATCCACTACTAAGTACACAATTTGCCAGTACCAGAGACCAATGCTAAGCCACCAATATGAAACTTGCTTCCAGAGTGATCAGCCATCTGATAGCAGACTGATTACAATGAAAGTATTCCATTGTGAAAGGGGTAGTATTTTATCTTTACTGAAAGTCAATTTCTCTGGATAAATTGCCTTTCAATTTCAGTTGCATTTCTTCTATTCAATGCTTCTACCCAAGCTACTATTTATGCACTTACAAAATGAATTGTCCACTGATTTGATATTCTATACAGCATTGATTCTGATGAAGAAAATCACTTCATAGTTAAAGAAGTGCAGTAGTGGGCTCATATTTATAGAATTTACTGATTGCATGCTCCCTACCATCCTGAACTAGTTGTTCGACAGAATCATGGGATGGCCTTTGGAACACTCAGTTGTACTTCCAACTAAGTGATCTATGTTTCAGAGCTCTTTCAGAGGTTGTAGGTGCCCTGAACCAGTGAACAATCCTCCAACATATGGTACTTTCCCAATACTAACCAAGAGGTGGAAATACCAATGGTGCTTACTGTGTGTGAGTGTCCTAGAGACACACTTTAAAAATGTTTCTTGTTCCCATGCCTTTATGCTTTGCTAACCTGGAGATCCTGAGAGCAGAGAAAGACCACTTCCACCAGAAGGCACAATAATGATTCCATTGGACTGGAAGTTCAGATTTCTACCCATTCACTTTGGGTTTTTCAGGGCTCCAGCTCAACAGGCTAAGAAGAGCATTATGTTGTTTTCTGGGTCACTGATTTGGACTACTAAGGGAACATTGGACTGCTCTCCTACAGTGAGATAAAAATGAGTATATCTGGAACACAGGCGGTTAATTAGGGTATTTCATAGTTTTACAGTGCCCTATGATTAATCTACTTAGCGAACTACAACAATCCAATAGGAGAGTTGGTTGGGAAAGTGGAGTTCTACAAACATCAGTCATCTAGCGGGAGTCTGCAAAGGTGAAAAAGTATAGGATCCTTGGCAGCAAAAGTTGTAGAGTGTTCATGGTGGCAGTGATGGCTTCTGCTTTCCTCTACAGCTGGAGTCATGGTCACTGGGAACTATGGTGGTACTTGCCACATAGCTGATAACGATAGCTACTGCTATTTAATGTTTCAGAGACCTCAGCTGCCCATTTCCCTACTTACGTGGGTGTGGTAAAACCAATACAGTTCATTCAAACACTTTCTACTCATTCAGTCATCTTGGAGATTTTGCACCATTGATGTCCTGAAGGTTAACCCTATTCCTGATTCTCTCCCAGTGCCATTTTTATTCATGGATAACTGGCTGTCCTACTCTGCTGTCTGGGTGACATCATTTAGTGACACTTTCAAATACTTGACACTAACAATTATCTGGACACATGGGTTAAGTTATTGTATAACAGGCAGATGTTAATCTGATGGCTATACAATAAATATTCTCTTGGTGCAAACTTTATTTGGAGCCAAATATGTGATTTGTCACAACAATACTGGTCTAGTTTTCTTATTCTTGAGACAGATAAACAGTGTGTGTGTGTGTGTGTGTGTGTGTGTGTGTGTGTGTGTGTATGAAGGAGACTGTTATTAAGATTTTAAAAATAAAAATAAACCAAAGGGTTATGTGGTTGGTGAAAAATAATTTGATTTTTAAAGTGATATTTGGAAATCAAATAATTTCTGATTAATAGTATCAGAAAATTATGCTGGAAGAAATTTTTCTGTGCACAATAATCTTGGCCTAGAATTCAGAAATGTAAATATTTTTATACATTTATATGTGACCTTGTATACGTGTTTTTACTTCTTGTGATAAAGTAAACAATTTTTCTTAGAATACATTATTGGTACATATTAATTGGATTTTTATGCATAAATGCATCTTGACTGACACTGATTTAAATACATCTAAATATATTTTGGGTTTTATTTTAAAACACTGGTAATACATCTATTTTTAAATCACTCCTATTGGAAAAGTATACTTTTGTCTTCAAGGATTTATAATATTATCAATATTATTTTTATTTCAGTTTATATTGAATGAGACAAAGTGACATATATTTATTCTATTTTTATAATAGAAAATTTCTACTTTGAGTAACCTAATGCATGTGGTAGACAAAAAATATTTAAACAAAATTAACACCATATGCTTATGCCTTTTAAAATTCTTGGAGGTAAGGTTGAAGATTTGAAAGGCAACATTAACATGGAAAACAGGGAAATCACAGTTAACATTGCCTGACAGTTATATCACAGGGGAGAAAGTATCTCTTTCCATGTCAACTTCAGCTCAAATGATGAGATAGTTCACCCCATCCTATAGGTGATTCACAATTTAAAATCAGAGACCACCCCTAAGTCATGTTATCTCTTGAATTATATTGCCAGTTGTGGGGGAGGGAGAGGATAGCTCTTTCTGTGACATGTGGGCCTTTTCCAAGCCTCCTGGAAGTACTCTACATAAATCAAGGATTAGGTAACCAGACAGGAGGATGTGGAAGAATGCCACACTGGCTCTTTGAATTGTAAGGCTATTCTTATCTACTGTTGCTCTGAATTCCATTTTTTTCCCAGTCAAATGTACAACCTGTAACTCCCAGCAAACATAGGGTCAGAGGAACCCAGGTGCCTATTCCATTCCTCTACACAATGGAGGGGCTGCCAAAGTGGGAGGTGCTTGAGGCCTCACAACCAGCTTGTTGGGAAAAACTCAGGAGAATTTCAAGACAAAGGAGAAAAAGGCAATCTCAGATCTCCGGCTCATACAAGTCTGGGAGATACAGTCATGGAAGAAAATGGAAATCATACACCTGAAATCTCCAATAGGATAACAACCGAAGTAGAGAAACAATTTCATGAGACTGTAAAAGTAATCAAATCAGAAATACTATCTCAGGTAAAAGAAGAAATCACAAACATAATGAAAGAATTGCTCACCATATCTAAAGAAGACATAGATTTAAAAAAAAAAAAAAAAAGACGAGTGCTGGGCATGGTAGCTTACTCCTGTAATTCCAGCACTCGAGAGGTTGAGGCAGGAGGATTATTGTGAGTTTAAGACCAGCTGAGGCTACAAAGTGCACTCAAGGCCAGCCGGAACTGTATAGAGAGACACTGTCTCAAAAAGACAAAAAAAAAAAAAAAAAAAAAAAAAAAAAAGACAAAAAAAAGAGGAGCATAGGAAAATGATGGAAATCTTGAATGACCAATGTAGAAAGGAATTGCAATGCATGAAACAGATCCAAAGAGAGATCCAGGAAATTAAAAAGTCAATCAAAAGCTGGCAAAACCAATGGAAAGAGACTGAAGATAAACTTTCAAACCTTAAAGACAGGATTGCAGCTAGTGATCATGAAAGGAAAGATCTTTTAAAAATAACAAGGAACCAGGATAACAATTCAGTGGCTGCAAGACAACACAAAGAAACATAATTTAAGAGTGATAGTTAAGTGAAGATGCAAGGGTCAATACAAGTGAAATAAAAAGGCTATTTACAGAAGTAATAGCAGAAAACTTCCCAAACATGGGAAAAGGATCTAGTATATGGATAAACATAGAACCCCAATTAGCCATAACCAGTGTAAATCTACACCCAGACATATAATAATCAAGATCCCAGAAATTTAGTACAAGAACAGAATATTAAAAGCTATTAGAGAAAAGAAACGGATCATCTACAAAGGAAAGGATAAGAATCATGGCAGACTTGTCAACATAAACCATCAAATCAAGAAGAGTTGGGACTGAACTATTTCAAATCCTGAAACCAAACAACTTTCAACCCAGATTGATGTACCCTGAAAATTATCTTTCAAAATTGATGTAAAAATAAGATACTTTCATGACAAAGAACAACTAAAGGAGTTCACGACCACCAAACCAACCCTACAGAGAGTGCTAAAGGGTATTCTAGAGAGAGATAAAGATGACCATGGCTCCAGGAACAGCAGCAAAAGAAGACCACCAAACAGGACAAGCAATTGAATGAAGGGACAAAGTGGAAGGCCAACAGGAGGAGGATAGTATGCCAGAGATAAACCAATAACTGTTGCTTGTAACCACTGATTTAGATGGCCTCAGGTCAGCAATAAAAAGAAACTCAGGGAGAGTGGATAAAGAAACAATATCCATCAATATGCTGTATACAAGAAACACATCTAACTGGAAAGGAAATTAAGAGACTGAAAATCAAAAGAGAGAAAACAATTGTTCTGTATGACAGGAGAACAGGAAAAAAAGCAAGAGTAACTTGCCCATTAATCACAGAATAAATAAGAAAGATATAGTATTTTCATACAATGGAAAGCTACCCAGCTATAAAGTAGAATAATCTTGAGGCTCTTGTAGGTAAATAGATGCAACTGGAGATCATGTTCATGGGCAAAACAATTTGAACTCACATGGGTGAGCACTACCATAAAAAACAGGAGTTAGTGGAATCCAAAAAGCACAATAGATATAATAAAAGTGATGAGGGAGAAAACGTCTATGAAGGAAAGCTGGTAATCACTGTTAATTTCTTGTGGTCTTGTCTTGAACTCTTGTATTGTTTTCACAATTTTGTTAGGTTTGGTTTTATTCTATCTTGTTTTGTTAGATTTTACTGTGTCTAAAGGTATAGGCAGCTATTTTGAACATAATAGGATATATTATGGTAATCATGGTTGGTTTCCTATCATAAGTCCTATATTGTCTTTATTAATTTGTTTAATTGGTTTTATTCCACTTTGTTTTGATTTTATTATGTGTGATGGTATGAACACCTATGTTGAAGAAAATGAAAGACATTATGGTAGCCACTGTTGATGTCTTGTTATCTTGTTGTAAAGTCCTATGTTGCTTGCATAGTTCTGTGCTTATTTGCTTTGTTTTATCTTATTTTGTTTCGCTTTCTCTAAAATAAAAAAAAGTAAGCAATTATGGGGCTTTCCTTTTTCAGACAAAGAAGGTTAACTAGTTTTAGATCAATGAGCAAGGATATGTGAAGTACAAAATAGGAATATTTCTGAAAAGACAAGTAGTTGTTTGCTTGTTCTGGTCAATAGAAGAATTTGCATTACAATAAAACATCTGATGTAGTACAGATACTATAACTAGATTAAGTTTAATATTTTGATATTGCCATTATAGCTCTCAGACAAGGTAACTTGTAGTTTCTGAATCTAATGAAGGAATGAAATAATAAGCCTTAAAGAGCACCATGCAAATCAATCAGCACTCCTCCGCCATGTCCAGATCATTTATAAACAAAAATGTTTTGTGAATTTAGAAGCCTGGAAAAATATTTTATTAGATATTTCATTAGTTTTTATGTAAACATGTGTATTTCTTTTAAGTTGAAAAGTATACAATTTCAGAAGATGCTTATATTTTCATATTGTGCTTACTGTATAATTAAACCAGAAATAAAAACTCTTTTTATTATTATTTGTTTTAGTTCTAAGTTTGGTAGACAAAAATGCTCAAATCGTTTCTGACTGAATTACAATTTGGAGGATTTTAAACAAATTCATACTCCTTGTGGTTTTGTAAAGGATTAAACACTTATGTTACTGAATAATCATTTTAAGAAATCCAAAAACACATCAGGTATAAAAAGTATCAGTCATGTTACTCTGGATCTGAGGAAAGCAGAAGTAAGACCAATTAAAGAGGCAAAGACAAATTTCCACAAAATGTCCACAAACATAAAAACAATAACAAATGGTTATTTTAAAACAAATTACCATAATTTTAAAAAGCTTTTAAATATGATTTATGATGATGTTCAAATATAGAATTAACAATAAATCAATGACAGAAAAAGTCAGAACCTACTAACCTGGTCATAAAATAATCTAGTCTTTCTAAATTAAAAGGGATAAAATATTATTTTATTTCTTTGGTACTTATTAATGCATCAATGCAATAAATGATGTATTAAAATATCTTATATTTAGGCATATGAAATATATAGATACAGAAAAATTTTAATTATAGTTTAAAGAATAAGCAATATACTAAATGAGTATCTAGTCACAAATGTATTACTAAACATATTTATAAAATAATTGCATATATGCCTAGTTTTGTTTAGCATCTAAATAAAATTAATTGGTTTTAATTGACAGCTAAACTGGGCATATTTATCATGTACAACATGATGTTTTGGAAAATGGTTAAATTTTGCTAATCAACAAATGCAGTAGTTCACTAATTATCACTTTTGTAGTGAGAAAAATTATCTACTGCCTACATTTTTCAATAATAGAGCGTAATTAACTGTAGTTATTAGGTTGTAAACTTCATATGTTTAACTTGTTCCTATCTAGGTTGAGTTGTTAATTAACAACTTCCTTAATAATAATACAATATCTATATTATATTATAGAAAATATCTATTACCTTATATAAATATTTATATTTTTCTGTATTTTTACCAACTATTGTTGACTATTTACATTAATGTTTGTATCTAAGGAAAACAGGCCCATTTTTTCACTAGGTATAAAACATATTTTTCTTGTGAATCTACAAGTGTTATAAAATAAAAGTTTATGAAATAATCAACCTTCTAGTTATAAAAAGAACAAACTATTAGTAAAAATTACACATGAATAAGCCTCACATTTTTCTAATTGCAAGAAGCCAGTTGTATTATCTGATTTTACTTGCATAAACATGTAGAAAAGGTAAAATCTATACGTGTATGGACTCTATTTGTGTAAATGTGTAGAAAAGGTAAAATCCATAAAAGCAAGTAGGTTTGTTGTTACTTAGGGCTGAGAGTGAAATTAACTTCAAACAAGTGCAATATGACTTTTTGGGTGATAAAATGCTATAAAATTGTGTGATAGTTATTGCTGTACACATCTGTAAATGCATGAAAATAATTGAAATGTACATTTACATAAGTGCTTTTTATGATGTGAAACTTACATGTGAATAAAGAAGAATCAAAACTTCCCCAAGGTAGTGAGATGTAAAAATAATGATAATGTAATTGACAACTGCCATTATAACTTTTCTGAAAAAAAACAAATGCCAGAAAAGACACATCAAATGGCAAATAGCTTGCCAAAAATCAGAACAAATTCTAATCATGAAAAGACATCAAATACTAAATCTAATAATGATAGGACATCAGATAAACCATTTTGAAAGAAATTCTATAATAAAGCAACCTATGCTTATGAAACAGGTATGTGAAAAAGACAAAGGTTAAGGAACTATTTTAGATTAAAACAAATTTAAAAGCTGACAATAAGATGCAACATGTAGCTGGTCTTGGTGGCACATGTCTGTAAGCCCAGCATTCAGGAGCCTGAGGCAGAAGGATTGCCACAACTTTAAGGCCAGCCTGGGCTACATAGTGAGTTCCAGACAGTCTGCTACATAGCAAATCCCTGTCTCAAAGAAAACAAAAAGGACATTACTGGGAGAAAAAAATATCCCCAAAACATGAGATTGTGTTATGTACATGTACTGCTTCTCAATGATAAATGTAATCATTATGTACTATAAATAAGTACTAACAAAAAATAAGAATTAAAAACTCAAGAAAAAGACATTAATGAGATACTTGGCAAAATTGAAATGCAAACCATACTATTACAGTACTGTACCAGTGTTTCAATTCCTAAATGTATTACTTCACTGTGTTTATATATGGTGTCATTTAAAAATTTTTTACAGTAATGTATTTAAGGTAAGGGAAAGCCTTGTCTGAAATTTAATCTCAAAGGGATCTTTGAGCCTTTGATTTTTCATGTTTTTCAAAGACCTTCAATGTTTCTTTACTACAAAAAAGGAGAGACATGTTCACTGTAATTGAACATTATGTGATCTGTACATGCACTGAAACATCACATAGTGACTCACCACAAATGTATATATATGTGTGTGTGTGTGTCCATTACACACCAATGGACAGAATAGGGTGCACAGAAGTACACCCATTTATTCAAGCACTTGGTTCTAAACAAAGGAGCTAAAAATATAGAGAACTGAAAAAACAATAGCCTTTTAATCAAATGGTGCTGAGAAAAATGGATATGTACTTGTAGAAGATTGAAACTAGATCTTAATCTCTGACCACATAAAAATCAATTCAAAATGGATTATGACTTGAGTTTAAGACCTAAGACGTTGAAGCTACCTCATGAAAATAGAGAGGAAACACTTGAAGAGGAATACACACACACAGGCAAAACTTCCTGACTAAGACTCCATCAGACAGCAAATAATGGAAAGAATTCACAAATGAGACTAATCAAATTTCTGCACACCAAGAGAAACAGTTAGCATAGTAACGAGTTAGCCTGCATAACAGAAAAACATCTTTGCCTACTAAGTTTCTTATAGAGCGTCAACATCTAAAATGCATAAATCATTTTTTATACAATCAAGTAGCCCGCGTCAACAAATAGGCAAAAAACAAAACAAAAAAAAAACAAAAAAAAAAACAAAAAACAAATGATGCTCAAAAGAAGTACATACGGCCATTATGTATATGAAAATATGTTCAACATCTTTAGCCATTAGGGAAATGCAAATCAAAACACATTGAAATTCCATCTCACCACAGTAAAAATGACTATCGACAAAAATACATAAAACAATAAATGCTGGCAAGGATCCAGGGGGAAAGGAACATTTCTATACTGTTGAAGGGGAATGTGAATTAGTACAACCACTACTGAAATCAGTATGGAGTTTCCTCAGAATCTAAAATACAGTCACGGTTTGTTCCACTCTTTAGTATGCATCTGAAGGAATTAAACTCAGCATATTATGGGTATATCTGAATATTCATGCTTATGGTGGCATAATTCACATTAAGATATGGATACGTATCTGTCAACCAGTGAACAGATTTGTTATTTGCAGGAAAGTGGATGGATCTAGAGATCACTGTGTTGAGCTAAGCCAGATTCAGAAAGACAACTATTATATGTTCTCATTAGTATATGAAATATAAAAAGATGAAATGAAAGTAGAAGGGAGACTATTATTAGACAAGAGGAAGGGGAATAGAAAAGAGAAGTGTAAAAGAGGGTATAGGAAAGATAGTTTTGATCAAAATATATTGAAACCCAATATTTCATAAAATTAATAAATAGTAATTATAAAAGGAAAACACTAATAAAGCAAAAACATTCAAAACCAAGATAGTTTCAATGATGAATATTGTTAAATACTTAACAAATTATTTCAAATCTATACAATCTCTTCTAGTATGTGGAAAAGAGTTCTTTATAACTTATTTTATCACACAAAGTTTACAGTGATATTAAAATCATACAGACATTAAAAACTACAGGTTAATCTGACACATGAACATAGATCCAAAAATTCTTATCCAAATATTAGTCAACCTACTCCAACTTCATTTAAGAATACTACTTCATAGCCAGGTAGTATCCATGCCAGGAATCCCTCCATTCCTAAACCCCACTATTGGATTCATTATTTGTAATCCACCATTGAGTCAAAGAAAAAAAATTATATTATCTCAGGGAACACAGAGAAAACCTTTAAAAAACTAAAAATCAATTAATGATTAAAAAAACAAAAATGCTCTCAAGAATTAGGAATTTAAAGGAACTTTTTCAATCTGCTAGAAGACACCTAGAAAAATGTACAAATAGCATCATTTTATTAATGGGAAAAGACCGAATACTTTCTAAGATCAGGAAAAGTGTAAAAATATCCTTTCTTACAATTTCTATTCAACATCATACTGCAATCCCTTGCAAGTGAAATATGGCTAAAAAAAGTGTGTAAAGTAAGCAAGTTTTAAAAAATTGAATAGTTTTTATGTATAGATGAAATGATTATTTACATACAAAGTCCAGTTAGTATTTTCATGATTTAGTTGGTAATTTCATTATGTACGCAAAATAAAAACAAACAGAAATATCCAAAATTAATGGCCTACTGCTTGAGAAATCAGAAACAAGGACTCATCTCATACTCAATCTGTATACCTTTTAGAAAAATATTTTAGGCTCTATTCTTTTCCAAAAATTAACAAAATAAAAAGTGTTTTTATCCCTCAACAGAAACAATACCTTCTTCAAAAATTAATAAAAATCAACTTCTCAAAAACTAGCTTATTTGCAAAAATTATACCAAAGCTCAAGCTGGACACTTCAAGTGTGCTAATTAATCTAATCCTAGAAGCTATGTTCCATTTAACAAATGCTAATATTCCATTTAACAAATCAGAAATCAATTAGCTCAATGTTAATCATCTAAAACCAATTAAAGGTTAATCAACTAGCCAAGACTCTAGCTGACAATGTCAGAGCCAAGATATGACACCAAGAATGTGACTCTAGGGTCCAAGTGATTAAGCACCAAACCAAACATCCCCCAGGTCCCTCCTAAGCACCTCACTCTGCATCTTCGGCTGTCTATAAACCTGCTGCACTAAGCTCCCAGCAATCCTGGAGGTACTAGACTCACCGCCTTCTCCACCTCTTAACTCACACTCCTGTTCCATTCCCAGGACAAATAAAGGAAGAAAGAGCAGCTTAGACAGTTTCTCAGTTAGAAAAACGTAAATCAAGGCTTAGAATATAAGTAGATCACTAATTTCCCTGTAATTTCACTGGAGCAATTAGGAAAGAATAAAACTCTGAAGATCTATATCATTTGTGGCCTTTAATCATTTCCTTTTATGACTGAGCAACGATATCTATTGTATGACCACGCAACATTTGATTTATCTTCTCCTTTAATTTTGACTCCTCTTTTTCTCTGAGTATGGAATTCTGGCTTCTTTTTAAAATTTTTATTTTATTTTAAAGATAATGTTTTGGCTCACTTAGGTTACAGTGAAAAGTCTGCGTCCATTTTGATCTTTCTCATCTATATATAATGTATTTTCTTGATTTTACTCTCAGCCCCATAAAGTTATAGGAATCTTACAAAAGTCCACTGTTCTCAGTTCTATCTTTGAAACGTCCTGTGACTACATAAGTAATTTATGGAAAAATTATCTACCCCTGTAAACCACAAATAGTTATAGACTTGCTTGGTTTTGATAAACAAATCCAGATATTTCAAACAATGATATCAAGAATTACAGCCTCACTGTTTGATATTTACTAGTGAGGCATAAGCCAAAACTCTACATTAACATCTGACAAAATGGAGTTTGTTTTAATATTGGCTGATATTGTTACATATACAAACTGTAGTATCACCTCCCAAGGAAAATGAATACTCACATTACAGTATATTTCCATCCAGGACTGTGTGTGTGCTAAACATGAATCATACAAAAACTTTAACATTCACAAGAGTAGCCTAGAATGAATGCTTGCTCAGACTCCTGCTACTTGGCCACATGTCAGCTTCTGATTCACTGAATCTAGATAGAGACATGAATTTGCAATTCATATTTCTTTCTCTTTCTTCCTCTCTTTTTCTTTCTTTCTCTTATTTTTCTTTCCTCTTTTGAGACAGTCTCACTAATTTGCTCACTCTGACTTTCAACTTGCCATCCTCCTGTCTCTAGTTGTAATTATAGGTTTTCAAGCATGAGCCACTATTTTCAGTTTATTCTTCTTTTTTTAAACACTCCTTGTAATAAAGCTTTGATTTTCACTGTGAGTCGTCCAAATACAATTTAGTAGACTTAATGTATTTCCAATGTATTTGTGTTCCATAACTTATTTTTAAATTTCCATGCCATTGACTTTCTAAAAGGAGCAAAAACAGTTTCCTTTTTTTTAAGTTGAGTTCCAGAAATAATTGGGAAAATTAATAAAAAACCAAAATGTTACACTTATTAAAGGAAAAATTCTGATATTGAACAGTATACCTAACATCTACAGGCAAGGGGGCTTCTGAACAGTGAATCTGAAAATAAGGCAAATCTACCTCCCTGGGGTCTGAATGGCCGTATAAACAAATTGAGATACTTTCTTGGAGTCGAACTGGTGAGGAGTAGTTCAGGCAACAGTAAGATTTAGATTTCTTAGCCCCCAGTCCTCATGCTCTGCATTGTAATTAGATGGAAAAGAGATTTGCAGGGATAAGGCCATGGTTTAAAGTTACATGAGGCAAGGATAGGCTACCTAAAAGATGCAGGTCTGGATTTGATTACTTGGAGGTGAAGGCACTTGAGGAGCACCAGGTGAATTCCCCACCACATGCCATGCCTGTATTAGTGCTGATGGGCTCTTCCTTGCCTGTGCACCACACTTCCAGCTCCTCACTGCTATGAGAAATGTGGGAGACAGATTGACTAAGTCATCTTCAGAAAACCAACCTCACAGAATGAATGGCATGAGGAGTGCTCATTTTTTAATTAAAAAACTAAAGTTTTCTAGAACTATGAACTGTCCAACCCAGAAGGTATGAGAAGTGTGTGGACATTTAGATTTAAATCCTAAGTTAAATTAAAATGTATTACATTTAAAATTGTGGTTTTCAATCACAGCAGCCACATTTCAAGTCTTCAGCAGCGACAAGTGCTACCGTTTTGCACACCAGAAATACAGAACATTTACATTACTGCGTTGTGTTTTACTAGAAAATGGTAATCTGATTGCTAAATACAGTAATATACTATTCAAGGCCAACTCGGTCTTCTAACTGTCCAATCAATGCCGATCTGATACAGAACTTGGTATTCTATCCAGAAAAGCCACCAAATGTTTTAATCTTCGTCACATCACTGAAGGTTAACAGCATGGAAACAATGAAATCTGCTACATGGTTGTACCTTGTGTTTAATTCCTGATATTTCCCATTCCAAAGAGAACAATCCCTGCAGACCTACACTCCTACAGAAATCTGTAGAGGAGGGAATGTTGTCAATTTACACAATCAAACGTCTTAAATGACATGAGCTTTCTGAGTCACTCCCTTTTTGTATCAAACACACATATTTCTTTGTGTTGTGAACTCCTCCTACTCATGGAAAATCACGAGATGATGCTCCTAGGGTATTTTATATTCTAACTATAACATATAGCTGAGGCACGTGAGCTGCTGTGCCCAAATATCATGAAAACTCCAGCCTCCATTATTATTTTCATTAGATTAGATTAGGGAAGAGATATTTGGAAGGGTGAAATTAAAGAAGAAATAAAACAATACCTACAATTCAATGAAAATGCAGACACAACATACCATATCCTGTGGGATGTAATGAAAGCAGCCCTAAGAGGAAAATATATAGCAATAAATTGTCACATTAAGAAAATGGAATGAGCACAAATAAACAACCTAACTGTACATCTCAAGCTTCTAGAAAAGGAAGAGCAAGTCAAACACAAAGCTCATAGAAGAGAAGAAATTATAAAGATCAGAGCAGAAATTAATGCAATTGAAAATAAAAAAGTACAAAGAATTAATGCATAAAAGAACTAGTTTTTGAGAGAATAAACAAAATCGATAAATTTCTAGCCAAACTTATCAAGAAAAAGAAAGAAAAATTCAAATTCATGCAATAAGAAATGAAAAGGAAGAAGTTACTACAGGTCCCATGAAAATTCAAAAGATCATGAATTCATACTTCAAAAATCTTTACTCACATTGGGTGGAAAGTGCAGAGAAAATAGATTTCTAGAAACATATGAACTACTAAAGCTCAATCAAGATGATATAACAATTTTGAATAACTCAGTATCAGCTATTGAAATTAAAAATGTGATTAAAAACTTACCAACAAAAAAAGTCCAGATCCTGATGGATACACAGCTGAATTCTACAAGAAATTTAGAGAAGATTTAATGCCCATAGTCCTCAAACTCTTCATTGGAATTTAAAGTGAAGCAAATCCTTCCTAACTCATTCCTGGAGGCAAGTATCAAGCTGATACCAAAACCAGAGAGAGACCCAGCCAAAAAGGAGAACTATGGGCCAATCTCACTAGTGAACATTGATGCAAAGACTGGCAAATAGAATGCAGCAAATCATCAAGACAACCAAGTAGGATTTATTCCAGGAATGCAGGGATGATTTAACATACAAAAATCAAAAAAATGTATCACACCACATCAACAGAGCCAAAAATAAAAATCACATGGTCATCTCAATAGATGCAGAAAAAGCTTTTGATAAAGTTGAACGTCTGTTCATGGTAAAAAAAAAAAAAAAAAAAAAAAAAAAAAAAAAAAAAAAAACCTACAGAAACTCGGAATAGATGGTACCTACCTCAATCTCATAAAAGCCATTTATGACAAACCAACAGTCAACATTATACTAAATGGATAAAAACTGAAACCTTCACTCTAAAATCAGGAACAAGACAAGGATGTCCACTATCACCACTGCTATTCAACATAGTTCTAGAAATACGAGCCAGAGCAATCAGACAAGAGGGAGAAATAAAAGGAATAAAAATAGGAAAAGAAGTTAAATTATCATTATTTACAGATGGCATGTTACTCTACATAGAAGACAAAAAAAACTCCCTTAAAAGACTACTAGAGAGGGCTGGGGATTTAGCTCAGCGGCATAAGCACCTGCCTCGTAAGCAGGCAGTCGTGAGTTCGATCCCTGGTACTGGTAAAAATGAAAAAGAAAAAAAAGAAAAAAAAAAAAAAAAAAGAAGAAGAAGACTACTAGAGATAATAAGCAAATTCAGCAGCATAGCTGGATACAAGTCAACACTCAAATATCAGTAGCATTCTTGTACACAAACAAAAAACTTACTAAAAGAGAAATTATGGAAATATTACCTTTCACAGTAGCATCTAAAAAAATCAGATACTTAGGAATAAACCTATCCAAGCATATAAAAGATCTATATGCTGAAAATTATACTACTCTAAAAAAGGAGATTGAAGAGGATATTAGAAAATGGAAGGATATTCCTTACCCTTGGCTAAGAAAAATTAACATTTTGAAAATGGCCATACTCCCAAAACTGTTATACAGATTTAATGCAATCCCAATCAAAATACCATTAACATACCATACACATCTAGAGAAAATATTCCTAAAATTCATTTGGAAACAGAAGAAACCTAGAATAGCAAAGGCAATTCTGGGTAACAAAGGCAAGGTAAGAGGCATCTCAATTCCTGACCTGGAACTATACTACAAAGCCACAGTGATAAAATCAGCATGGTACGGGCAAAGAAATAGACATGAAGATCAATGGAACAGATTATAAGATGCAAACACAACTAAAAAGACACTCAGCCACCTGATATTGACAAAGGGGCTAGCCATGTTCACTGGAAGAGGGATAGCCTCTTTAATAAATTATGTTGGAAAAATGACTTTCCACATGTTGAAGACTAAAACTATACCTATGCCTATTACCATGCATTAAACTAAAGTCAAAATGGATCAAAGACCTAAATTTTAAAATACAAACACTAAATCTACTGGAAGACATGGTAGGTAGAAATCTTGGAGACATAGGGGTAGGCAGAGAATTCATGAACAGAATGCTAGCCACACGGGAAATGCTTCAAAGAATCAACAACTGGGATCTCATATTACTAAAAAATGTTTGCAGTTCAAAAGAAATCACCAACAAAGTGAAAAGAAAATCCACAGAATGGGAAAGAATTTTAGCTGACAATCCCTCAGACAAAGGACTTATATCCAGAACATAGAAAGAATTGAAAAACATCAAGCCCCCCCAAAAATATTCAAAGACCCTCTCCAAAAATTGACATCTGAGATGAACATATAGTTCTCATATGAAGATATACAAGTGGCAAATAAATACATGAAGAAATGCTCACCATCACTGGTCATTCAAGAAATGCAAATTAAAACAACACTGAGATTTCATCTTGCCCCAGAAAGAATGGCTGCCATGAAGAAATCAAATGTTAACAAATGTTGGCAAGGATGTGGGGAAAAAGGAACACTGATCCATGTTGGTGGGAGTATAGAATGGTGCAGCCACTTTGGAAATCAGCATGGCGATTCCTCAGCAAACTAGGAGTGGGGAAGTCCCATTCAATACAGCTATTCACTTCCTGAGTATTTTCCAAGAAAAACGGAAATGGTCATATCACAGTGATATATATGCACCCATTTTCATAGCAGCACAATTTGTAATAGGTAAATCTTGGAAACAACCAAAATGCCCAATAACCACAGACTGGATGAAAAAGATGTGGTATTTTTATACAATCAAATATTACTCAGCAATAAAAATGGATGATCTTGAGGCAACTTGCGACTATCCTCATAAGTGAAATAAGCAAGACTCACACTAGTAAGCATCACATTGTCTCACTAATATAAAAAAATAATAAAAACAGAGTAATAAGATCCAAAATATATAATTGATATTGCAAAAATGAAAGGGAAGGAAAGTGCTCTAAAAGATATCTCTGTATGTATAAGTGTGTAAGATAAATGAACATATGACTAAATTTTTGTTGGATCATTAAACAGAATGGTTTACACCATCAATGTTTGTGTGTCTATCTACTTTTTCTGCTTTGCTTTTGCATCTTGAACAACCATTTCTAATGTGACAATATGTAACATATCAACTAGAGAGTTCTTAGTGTTAATTTTTTTTGAATTCTGTATTATCTTACCTTTTCTTCTATTTTGTTTTTTTCTTTCTTTAAATAAGTAAAAAATAAATAAAATAAAAAGAATCATGACTCATCTTCCATGTAAAGATAGATAAAGCTTTCGGATTCTAACATCTATAATATTAATAATGCTATAATACTGCATCAAATATAAAAATTGAACTCAGTTCAAATTCTTCAGCCTCATATCCTGTCCAAAACTAATCCTGCATATCCTGAAAGGCTGTCCTCTGGGCTCAGAAAGCCACCCATGTTGTTTAGAAGTCTCACTTTTTACTGCCTTATGTTTATAGAGGCTGTTTAAGAATCGGTCACTTCCCCAGTCAGTCCATGAGAGCCCTGAGATATTAAGTCTCCTTTCTTCCTGAGTCCTTCTTGCACACACAATGAGTGTATACTGAATGCATATTGAGGGGATGATGAAGAAGGAGCCCTCGTCTCCCATCTCCAAGGAACTCAGGTACAGTACACTGAGGGAGAAAGCACACTGACCCTGTAGCTGGGGGTCCTGAGTGTTGGTCTTGGTCCTGCCATACACTCACCTTGAGGCCTGGGAAACTTGTTGACTTCTCATAGCCTCATACCCCCTTCTGATACCCCCTTTCCTTCCAGTGGAAAGTAGGAAAATGACAGGGTTTGTGGGTAAAGGCAGTGAGAGAATGTTCACTGTTCAAAATGGCCTATGGCTGGAACTCCTAGTATGCCTCCATATACTTTCCTCTTTTTATATGAATTCAAAGACTAGAGCTTATTGACAAGACACAGATCATTTTCCATCTGTCTTAGGTACTTTGCTGTCATTGAGAAAAACACCCAAAACCCACATTTTAAGGAGAAGTTTATTTTGGATTACAGTTTCAGTGAATTTAGTCCATGGTCTTCTGGCTCTAAGGTTGAAACAGCATGGCAGACCCACATTGTGGGAGCAAGTTGTTTGTGGCCTCACTGCCAGGATGTGCAGAGAGAAAGAGCTGGGTTGAGAATACACCCTACCACATGATGCCCACCTCTTTCAAAAAGTCCCAACCTCAAAATATGAGATGTTTGGGGGAAGATTTTAGATCTAAATCATAATACCATCATCCTAATCCTATACGGCTAGATACTGCCACGTGACTCAATCTTGACCAACAAGGTATTAGTGAAAATTTTACGTGGAGCTTTCAGGAATTATTCACTGGAATTTAGAAACAATGACTGTAGTTTAGATAACCATGTTAAACAAGAATATGTATGACAGTAGAGCAGTAAGATTAAAGGAGCAAAGTTCTTTTAAAAATTATAAGCTGAGTAATTTTTATCTCTATCTAATATGACTTTCAATACTCTTTCTAGGGTTGGTTTGGTGGACATAAATTTCTTCAGGTGTTCTTTGTCATGGAAGTATCTTGTTTCTCCTTTGAATTGGAAAGAAGGTTTTTCTGGGTATATCAATCTGGGTTGAAAGTTGTTTTCTTTCAGGGTTTGGAATACTTCACTCCAAGTTCATCTTAACTTGAGAGTTTGGGCTGAAAAGTCTGCCATGAATCTAATGGATTTTCCTTGATAGGTGAGTTGTGTCTTTACTCTAACAGCTTTTAGTATTCTGTTCTTATGTTGTATGCCTGAAATTTTAATTATTATATGTCTGGGTGTAGATTTACGTTGTTAGTGTGTAAAATAAACATATTACTAAGTTTTTGTTGGATCATTGAACAGAATGGTTTGTACTCTCGTTGTTTGAATGTTCAATTTCTATGCTTTAATTTTGTGACTTGAACAACTATTTTTCTTCTTTTTTTCTTTTTGAACCATGGATTGAACTCACAACCTTGCATTTGCCAGACAGGCACTTATACCACTGAGCTAAATCCTTGGCCCTAATGAACAGTTCTTTCTAAGATGACAGTATGTAATTTATCAACAAGTGATTTCTTAGCATTAATTTTTTGAAATTCTATATTATTTCTATCCTTTTTTCTATTTTGATTTCTTTTTTCTCTTTAAATAAAAAACTTACAAGCTACTGCACAAGTCTTGCTTTGTCCAGGTTCAGACTTACATGAAAAAATCTTTCACATCTAAACTACTTTATTAATGAAATCAATTTAGGACCTTATATAGTGGGCCCGTGACTTAAAAACTTAATTTATTCATTAAAGCTGATTGTAACTCAAGTTGGTTGTACGTCAAGGTTAATTTTTGCATAAGAAATGATGGAAATACCCATAATGCATTTTGTACCACCCAAAGTACACCTTAACTCACTTTTTCACAATAAAAATAGTAGTATGATGTACATAGTTTATCAGAAACACCAATAATTGTCCTAGTATATTCACAAAAAAGTTATAAAATATGCCTAGCCTACCAGAAACAACAATTGCATAATGTACTCACTGTTCAAGTTGACATTTTTGGCTGTAGGAAGGGAGGATGAAATGGAAGGTGGTTACTGTTCGGAAGGAGAGTTACCTTCCATAAGAACACCTGAAATCTGGCTCTCTGCTGTTCTTTCTCTTCTTGGGAGAGTCTGTAGCCTACTAGGACCTTCTTCTGCTTCACTAGATCTCAACATTTTCAAAACTAAAAACTGGTTTAAGATTGTTTGTTTCTGTCTTTCCTTTAACACTGTTCTATAGTATGACATGGAATTGTCACTAAACAAGTTAGTGCAATGATTGGCTTTTTCTCTGTCTGGGTGGATCTTCTCTATAAAATGTTTATAGCTCTGTCCATGTTTTCAGGATTTTCTTTATTTCTAAAGAGCATTGTGGCACTGACTGTTGATATTCCCCTTCCTCTTCAGAAAGCTCCTTGGCATTCATTCTCTGTTGCTGTTTCTGAAGTTCCTCTGCAGATAATTCTGACTATTCCTCCATTAGTTCCTCACAATCACCAGTGTCTACCTGCAAGCCTACCAACTCTGAAATAATGACAATGTCTTCAACCACAGGTCAGTTGAAGGCTCAGGCTCCCCTACAAAGCCTTCAAAGTCTCTCTCCTCTATAGTTTTGAGCAGATCCAGTGTCCTTAGATATTGGCTCAGGATTTCACAATTAACTACACACAGGGAAGTGTGCTGTAACATTCCTTCCAGAACTCTTTAAGAATTGAATCAGATTGAATCAGCATCCATGAGCTCCACATTTCAAGGTCATTCTCCAGTCAAAATCTTGGGTTCCTCTGAATCCCCTTGGCAAACTCCTTGTGTAAGGAACTTACATGTTATTTATTTCTTTCCTAGCAAGGACCAAGTGCTCTTTAGAAGGCTCTTCAGAACCTTTAGAGGAAACCATTTTCTGAAGAAAACTATTTTCTGAAGTACTGGTGAAGAAATACTACCATATACACTCAGATCTAATCACCTGCCAAACCTATTTGAGGCCTTTCTGGACATTGGAATTTGTCCTGATCACATGGCTTTGCTACTGCATTGTGAGCATGGCTCAGGATCATGTGGACATATGTAGCATGTCTCCCACACATGACAGCAAGGAGAAAATGCAGTAGGAGCTGCTATGAAGGGGTAGATGCAACTGATGTCTCAAGATGGCCCTATCATGTAGATCATGCTGTACCCACTACAGAGAAGCCAGGCTCTCCGACCTTTAGAGGAAACCATTTTCCACTTTACACACCAGGTGAATGTGGAGGTTGTTGTGAATTCAGGGGTGAGTTCATGAAATTGAACCTTTGCTCCTCTTCCAGCTGGTTCCCCACTTCCTGTATGAGTCTTGGGACCTGGATACTAGAAGGAGTCTTCTGGATAATTTAATCTATGGTGCCTTAGAGCTCTGAAGTTACTAGAAACAACTTCAGACATCCCACTTCACAGATGAAGAAACAGAGCTCACAATGACATAGAGACTTACCCAAGGTCACATAGGTGCCAGTGGGCAAAGTTCAGTCTTTCCCCCTTTTCTAAGCTCCAAACTTCCTAAACTCCCATGTTTCTACAAACATCTAGCACCTCCTTCTCTTTTTGTGTGTAACAGGCTTCATTTTACCTCCCCCAGCTTTACTAAAGTATAATAAACAAATAAAAATAATTTATATTTAAGTTGTAATAACTTGATACAAGCCCCATGCATTTAAAAATGATGGCCTCAATCAAATTGATCTACACATCTATTATTTCTAGTTACCATCTGTGTGTGTGGTAAGAATATTTAGAATCTAATTTCTTAGAAACTTCAAGTATACAGTGTGGCATCATTAAGCACACTTGCCATGCTGGTTCACCTTGTAGCAGAAAGTCTGGGCACACATCCCTGAGAAACCTGTTTGCCCAGCTGTGTGAAGCAAAGCTGAAGCCCTTTTCGCTTTGAGCTGTGTCTCCCTTCCTACTTATCCCTGGGAGCTTGGGGAACTCTGAGCCCAGAGAAGGCTCTTCTTCACTGCCGTCCCTCTGAAACCAAGTGAACTGGAGTGAGATTTCAGGGCGTGCCCTGCCACCTCCCCAGGGCAGGGCCAGTGCTCACCCACAACCTTGCCCGAACTGTCTCAGCAGCTGCTAGAGGCCAGGCCACAGTGACGCCACATCTCTGCAGCCCAGGACCCAGAGGCTGAGAAACCGGACTCCAGGAGGCTTGAGGCTGTGCTGGGCAGGTAAGAGGCAAATGAGTTTTTAGTGACTAGATTATATAACTCTGTTCCATTTTTTTGTCCTCTTTTCACAATCCCTGGTTCTCTGACATCATGTTGCTGATTTTTCTTCTATATAATACTGCTTTTCTCTGGGAATTAAACATCTAACTCATCTCCCAGGTGTCATCTGGACACAGGAGCACTCCAAATGCTTGGCCTCCTGGTGACTGGGGAAGGTCACCAAGAGGAAGACAGTGGGTGCCCATCTTGGCCATCATAGATGGTGTGTTTTCCCCTGCAGGATTTGGCCTTGCTTCTTTCTCTGTCATTAACTATGCTCTGCAAGTGGCTGAGGAGAATCACAGGGTACTGCATTTGAGTTTGAACTGAATCAAACACAAGCATGTACAACATCAGCAGAATCTCTAGATCCTGAGATCTGCAGGCTGGAGCAGAGCATGGTCCAGGCAGGAAAGGAAGGATGAGGACTAGGGTATCAGTAAGGAGAGAGACAAAAATCTCTAAATCTGGAAGGGGAGCCCATGCTCAGGGTGCTCCTGTCCCCAGTCCAGCCCCTTTGCCTCTGATTAGAGATTCCACAAGGATCAACACAGAGCTGATTCCTCTCCCACCACCAGGAAGTGGGGTAGAGTAACTTTCACAGTCAGACAAAAATCCAAATTAAAAACCCAAGCAAGCCACAGAGACTAGCCAATAAATCATCCTCACCTAAAAATGGGAATAATGAGGCCAAGTTGCATTGTTCATGTGTCAGCTGAGATCATATCTATGCTTCCGCCTACATAGTTGTAAACATCAGTCTCCTTGGCCTTCATTGTTCTGGAGAAGGAAGTTGCCAGCTCTGCTGAGTGTGATTTTTCAGAAAAGACTTGTAAATAGTCAGGATGAGGCCAGCAGTAGGTACACAGAGCCTGCCCAGAATTTTGCTTGGAGCCAGCAGTCAGAGGAACGCCTAGGCAGCAGCAGAAAAGTGACTTCTCTTCCATATGAAAGTCGATTCTGTAGTGTGATGGAGGATACCAGGGCTGAGGACCACTTTGAACAGTCACCATCAGATGGTTGCCTTGTACACAGCATTGATGCTTCCATCCCTGGGCAAAAGGTGCCCAGATGACCTATCCTGGTGGCAACATTAGTCCCTTGTGGTGGGGCCAAACAAGGCTACTTCTTGCTCACGGCTCCATGCAGGGAATGGGCAGGTATAGCGCTATGCATTGAGTAAGGGAAAGACTACCAAAGGAGCAAGGAGCACCCCAAAGAGGAAGACACTTATGTCAGCATGCTTGTGTCACAGTAAAACCAGCCAGAACCGATCCCCGCCACCTCCTCCCTCACTCTGTGCCATGTCTGCCTCAATGGTTGCACCAGGCACTTCATCCACATCCATACCCCATGCTGCCCAGGGATCTCACCTCCATTCCCTGACCTTGTCCCAATCACTGGGGATGTGAGTACCAACAGATAAGCAGAAAGCAGTGTGCAGGGCTTATATCTAAAACAGAAACCCCAAATCTTATTCACAGATAAGTGGGGAGCAGTCTGAAGTTGAGAATGTTTTGGGTTGGGAACTGGGGAGAGCCTCTGAGCATGGAGGATGGTAGAGGAAGCAACACACACAAAGACTCGATGGGGAAGGTGTGCATGGAGCCTCTGGGAGCATCGCTTTACGGAGCTTAGTGGGAATAAAGCACAGGAAGTGTCCTGACCCAAGCTCTAGGTTGCCTGGGAGAAGTGAGCCTCCATGGGAGAAGCCTGCAAAGGAAGAAGGTGCCTACAGGACACTGGTCCTGTGGACCAGCTGACAGAGACAGCTGGAGAGCTTGAGATAGAGAGGCATTTGTTCTCTGGGTGCCAGAGAATGGGCAAAGGGGAGAGAGCAGAACAAATTGCACGGCGAGGGTGGGAAGCGGGGAGATGTGAGCTGACATTTTGGGTAGTGACCTTGAGGACAGCAGGCTTGTAGGAGCTCCACTTTTAAGAATTTTCAATGAGGGTGAAGAAAAAAGCCTAAGGGAGATCTAGGCTGCAGATGCCAGAAAGAGAGATCTGGTTGTGCATGTACAGAGACCTGTTCATGGAATGAACCAGGCTCAAGGAGGGACCCTTAAAGCAATTTTCTTAAACAGTTTGTTCAATGGACTGTACTTCCTTTATCCCTCAAATTCAGGGAGTTCTCTAAATAACCTTATGACATAGAAATTGTACTCTCACACTGAGTCTGAAAACACAGCTTCCATTCAGCTATGATTTAGAAATGATAAAGTCAAGTGCCTTAGATGACCCAACACTTCAATCTGCACTCAAAGCCAAGACGTCTTTCTGCAGGGGCTGTGCCCAGCAAGAGCTGGCAGCCTCAGAGCCGCTGCTTTGGTGAAGAGGTCATTGTCAATGTTTCTCCCTCTTCTCTCCCACTCGGTCAGCCATAGGCTCTTTCTGGGTCTCAAGACGGAGTCGGACTCTGGTCCATGGTGGGAAACTCTCCACAGTTCCCGCCAAATTTCCTGGAGCAGGTAGCTCCACATCCTTCCACTTCTTATTGAGAAAACGACAAATACGTTTTCAAGGGAATATTTTGCATCCAGTTCTTAGTATTTGCTTTACAGATCCTCCTCTCATTTAGCTGTAATTTTGCATAATTTTCCTACATATTTTATTGTAGTAAAATTTATATAACATAACATTTACTGTTTTTACCAATACAGTTCCATGGAATTAAAATATTAATTATATTGTGCAACAATCACAATCATCTGCCTCCGTAACTCTCTTTATCTTCCCGAACTGAAACTATTAAACGTATTAATTCTTCTTCCCTCGCCCTTGGCAACCACTATTTTCTTTCTGTCTGTATGACTCTGATTACTCCAGGTAACTCATGTAAGTAGAGTCATACAGTATTTGTCATTTTGTGACCATAGTTAGCAGAAACTCTTCAGATCCACTCATGTCATAGCATATATTAGAATCATTTCCCTTTTTAAAGCTGAATAATATTCCTTTGTAAGTATACATTTTGTTTATTCATTCATTAATAAACACTTAAATTTCTTCCAATTTTTGGCTATTATAAATAGTGCTACTGTAAATATGAGAGTACAAATATCTCTTTAAGACTGTGCTTTCACTTTTGTGGGAGTATATACCCATATACCCACCAGTGGATCAGTTAGTCAAAGTAACCCTGTTTTTAATTTTTTTGAGGAACTTCCATATTGTTTTCTATAAGGACTTCACCATTTTATATTCCTACCAGTGTTGCATAAGTGTTGCAATCTCCACACTCCCTAGCTACAGGAATATTTTAGTTAAAAAATAATCAATCCATTGGGTGTCACATGGTATTCCATTTGTGGTTTCAATTCTTACTCCCCTAATTAGTGAAGTCATGTGCTCGCTGGCTATTCATGCAACTGCTTGGGAAACTCGTCTATTCAAGTCCTTTTCTCATTTTACAATAACTTTTTTTTTTGCTTGAGTTGTTTATCAGAAATCTTTATATACTCTAGATTGTAATCCCCTATTAGATACATGATTTGGAAATATATTCTCTAGATTAGCTTTCCTTCCCATTGACAGTGTTCTCTGATGCACAGAGGGCTTTAATTTTGATGAAGTCCAATTTATCTTTTTCTTTCCTTTGTGGCTGTGTTTTTGGTGTCTTCATTGCTAAATCTAGTACCATGAAGATTTTCATCTGTGTTTTCTTCTGAGTTTTACTCTTCCGCTTAGGTCTTCTATCCATTTTGAACTATTTTTTGTATACAGTTGGGAAGACAGGTGTAACTTCTTTCTTTTCTGAGTGTATCTACAGTTTTCCTCGCAACATTTTCTGGAAAGATTGTCCTTTCCCCCCTGAACCATCTCAACACTTGTCAAAAACCACTTCCCATATATGTAAGGGTTCATTTCTGGGTTCTGTATTCTATTCCTTTGATTTTTAAGGCTACAGAGTATTGATCACTGCAGCTTGGTGTTAAATTTTGCAATCAGAAAATGTGAATCTTTCACCTTTGTTTTTCTTAGTTGACGTATTATATATGGTGACTTGAAGGGGACTTTATAAGTTTAGTATACTTCTGTAATTTTCTTTTTTTAAGAGCAGAGAACATTTATTGGGGGAAAGAAAACTATATTTTGAGGGGGAAAGAAAGCTTCTGTCTGTCTGCCCGATATTTTTCTAAATATTTAAAAAACCACTCCTCTCTTTATGAAGCATTCCCAGTAACCTCACCAGGACTTTGCTGCCCCTTCCTCTGAACTCTTCAGCTAAAAAGGAAAAGAAGCGTGTGTGTTGATTGACTTCGTGCTGGATGTAATTGTCCTATGTGACTGTGTGTCTTGCCCACATAGTTGTGAATTATTACACATGTATTCCTGTCTCAGTGCCTGGAAAACGGTCAGTTAAGCAAAAATGACAACCCTGTTAGTTCTCTGAGGTGATTGAGATCTGGCCAAGTGATGCCTAGGTTTTGAATATCAGCAACTGCCTAACGTGCTCAGCTATCTTGAATGAGACCCTTCATGCCTGAATTACATAATCTGTGCTTTCCAAACAGAAAATGTATACTGATTATAGCCATGTTTCCTTTGTGACTCTGTGTATGAAATCTTTGCTTCTATTCAAGAATGCCCTAGGCTGAGTTGATCTGTCCTATGTTAAAGGTCTGTTTGTCCCAATTAGGCCATCTTTGGCTTATTTTTCTACTCTCCTTAGTTTTAATGACACCCTACACCATCAGCCCATCAGCTGTGATCTTGCCTGTCTGTCTCTTCTGGTTAATTTATTTTCTAAATTGTAAATTGGGGTTCACATAACAAGGCTCTGGACAAGTAAAAGTAAACAAGTCATGTGTAGGGTCCTATGGGCTCACTGAAGGGTCAGAGGTCTGGGCTTTAAAATATCCACCATGGCTGTTTCAAAGCCTTTGTGCTCCCTCTGACACGCAGCACTGAGTTGCTAAGTCCTCTGGTGAGCTGACACAGGAATTTTAGATGCACTGCAAGAGTGTCTGCCATGTGCCCAAATCAGCTGGTTTAGGATTAAGCCAAAGGTGCAGGGCTTGGGTCTCAGCGTCAGGTATGTGAGAGAGAGAGCGGTTGGGAAACAGGACACGTAGACAGTAGAACCCTTAGCACCCAGAGTCCTTCCTGAGGAAGAAGTGCAGGACTCTCCTGGGTGTAGTCCTCCACCCCACTCTGAAAGAATAATCCTGGGACCCCTAGTTGTGGCATTTTTAGTGGCCTGAGCTCAGAGCAGTCTTTCTCTTCTCCATGAGTGACATCAAAGGAGCTGCCATACATTTCACCCTCAGGGACTGTAAAACTGACCATCTCAGGCTCTTGATCACCCACATCTTCTGATGTGACTAACACTGGCCCTGCTGCCTCTGCCCCTATCATTTATCTGATGAACTCTTATTCTCCTTTAAATATGTGTGAGGGATGCTATCTTTGCAGACTACTTCACTGTCCTTTGGCATCTGCATCCAATGCTAATGAGTGGAACATCTTTCTGAGTCCTGTTCCAGCTGGGGACTATCCTGAACTTCCTTTCAGATGAGTGCCCTACTTCCTGGGGCATGGCATGTCCTGAGCTTATGTTCAGGGCTAAGAGAAGAGGGAAGAGGAGGTACAGGACCACACCATTCACTTCCCGTAATCTAATAAGAGAAGAGAAAATTATCTGCTCCTGCAGTGGACTTCTCACAGTATGCTGTTGATGGAGGTACAGGGTCAGTGGGACCCCTTCATTCCTCTAGCACAGGCCTTGGCCTACGTGGGTAGAGGTGCTTGCAGAGTGACCATCAGACAACTGAATCCTTCCAAAGGCAGCAGTGTCAGAAGGACCATGTGAAGAAGCTTGCCTTGTGCCAGGTGGCTGCGCTCCTCGGCTAGATGGTGTTAGTGTTAATTTCTCTGTGTTAACCTCAAGAGCGTGCAGTAACTCAGGGTTTTCAAAGATCTCAGAGGCCCCCATAACCTCACTGGTGCTGTGAATCAAGGAGATGTTGATGAGGAGCCTGGGCTTAAAGATATTCAGCAGGTTGTCCAAGGCCATCTGCATTTTGTTGTGGGATGCAGTTGGGAGTAGAAGTCAAGCTGCCTACAGAGAGCTTCTTCTCTCACAGAAGAAGATCTTCCCTTGGCCCATGGAACTCTGCCCTTTCCCTGAAGGCCTCCTAAATCCACCCACTTCATCTGTCACAGAATAGGAGAGGAAGTGTGGACCAGGCATCAGAAGAGGTGAACTGTGGCCTTGCCTTGTGATATGCAGGCCTGCCTCTTCCTTGGAATAAACATCTGTGTCTTTCTGGGCCTTACTTTTCTCCACTGTAAGAAGGGAACGTGGCACCTGGAGGGTCGGGATGGTGGGAGTGTACATGGTGGTGGCTGCTCAGCAAAGGCACTGGTGCCCTCTTCCCCTCTCTTCCTTTGTCTCCTTCTCACTGAGCAAAGAAAAATTGCATTGAACAGATGATTAAGAAACCTGAACTCCAGCCCAGCTTTACCTGTACTTCCTTGTATCTCAGTTTCACTTGCATACAGCAGGAGTTTGAACACTATGATATCTGAAATCCTTCACAACTCTTGGATTCCAGCATTCTTCTGCCTTCCTCTTTCTTTTTTCCTCTTGCCCCAGTACTTTCGAGGGGGGAAGGAGAACTGTTAAGTGTGTGCGTGCATGGTGTGTATATGAACATGTGTGTGAGTACGCTTGTGTGTGTGAGAGAATCCTGTCACTGGTTGGGTGGTGGTGAGGAGAAAATGGGCAGGACATTACCGTGAGTTAGCAGAGCTCTGAGCTCTGAGCTCCCTCAAAGGCTCAAGGTGCTTGGGGCTGTTTAATCATTAAAGGAAAGGAATGAAGCCAGGAGAACCTCAAAGTCCAGCCTGCTAGGAACCGACACCAATAGATGAGCAAGGAGTCCTGAAGCTTCAGTGAACATGATGAAGACAGAGGCGGTTCTGCACGCAGCCCTGAGCTCTGAAAGTAGCCTGCACACCTATGACATCGTGGCTGTGGTCATCTACTTTGTCTTCGTCATCGCTGTGGGGATCTGGGTGAGTGGGGCCTGAGGCCAGGGCTGCAGAGCCGGGAAAGCAGAAGCACCTCTCATCTCTAGCCAAAGGCAAAGATGGGAAAGCAAGAGCAGACCATGTAACTAAAGGATCTGAGAGAGGGGAAAAAACCCTTCAGAAATCTCCCCACTACGCCCCTGCTTCTTTCCATAGATGAGCAGGCTGAGGGCCAAAGAAGGCTGTGGCTTGTCTGAGGTCACAAAGCAAACCAGAGGCAGATCAGGCCCAGAGACTCCAGCCCTGCCTCCCTGTGTGTGTGCGTCTGCTGCTGCCTTTGGCCTCAGCCATCATTGGCCACCCTGAACCCATTCCTGCCTTTTTCCTCAGCTCAAGATCTGCAACTTGAGAAAAAAAAAAACAACCTTGACCAGTCTTCTTTGGGTCACGATCAAGGAGCTAAGAGTCTGCATTCTTAGGGAAGGAAGGGTGCCAGACACATTCCAAGGTCCCACAGCTCTCCACTGATCACAGGAACCAGGGAGCTGTGGGCAGGGCCCAGGAAGCTGAGCTCAGGTCCCAAGTCCAACTGTCAAAGTCTCCTCTCTGAGTCTCAGTTTTCTCTTACGGACATGAAGAATAGGCTGAAGCCTCAGGAAGGGCAGGAAATGTGTGAACACGCACCTGGAGCCTGGCATGGAGGTGGCAGACAATAAGGGCTGTTATCATCACCTGTGCTCTCCTGACCTGCCAGCACCTTCAGACTGCTGCAGGGCAGACTGGACCGTGATTCCTGAGCCTTGGGCAGGTCAGGAACCCTCCCTGAGCCACCACCCCATCCTCCCTCCCTAAGAGGAAGTCATAGTGCCTGCCTTCCAACATTCCTGAAGGCAGAATTGGGCAGACAGGTGCTCAGTAGCTCCCCAGAGGCAGCCTGGGTCAAAAAAGACCAACTGTGCTGTGAATTGGACCAGTTACTCCCTGCCCCAGGGAATTTCTCCTCTGCGAAATGAATTTCCCTGGCCTCCAAGGGCATCAGAGGTAAGCCAGGAAAGTTCAAGCACAAGCTTAACAAACATCAGGCCCTACAAGAGTTAGCACTCCCTAATTACTTTCTCCTTTACTTCCCTGGAACTCAAGGATTTCTCCTATCTCAGAGCCAGGCAGGGACCTATTGCCCTCCCTACCAGTATAACTTCTGAGAGTTCCCCTTTCGCTGATCAGGGCCAGCCCTGATCCATGTACTGAGAAATCTCTTGTGTTCCTCAAATCTTTCATTTTTGAGAGCACAAACCTAAGAAGCCAAGTATTGACCACCTACTGCTATTTCCAGGGTCCTGGAGAGAGCTCAGTAGTGTGCCTGATAAGAAACCAGGCTAAGTAAAGATCCTAAGCAGCTCCACCAATCCTGCCTAGAGCCCATAGAGCCATCCTCCAAATCAAACTGGTCAGAACAGCCACTGTCTGCAGTGTAGGAACCCAGCCAGGAGGAGGAGAAAGGCCAGCTCAGGAGAGGGAGCCACTATGCACCTGAAGCCCAGATAGCACACGAGCCTCTGAGAGCCAGTACAGCGGAGGAAAGGATAAGGACATGCTAGCAGCCAGCTGGTACCCTTGCACAGCACTCGCCATTCACAAAGACTCTGGCCATCCTTACCTCCTTTGCTCTTCACCTCAGCCCTCAGGGACTGCTGAGAATCGCAAAGATGAAGTAACTCTCCCACTCCCGAGGACCTATAATTTAAAAATGGTGAAGTAGTCAGGCTGCTCCGTCCTGCCTGGGTTGTTAGTCTCTGTGTTCCCATAGTGCCTGCACCCAGGGACAGAAAATCTGGGGTGAGGGCAGAGACTGGAGAAAACCTTGAGAAGTGTTTATGTTTACCATTTCCTTTCCAGGCATCAATCCGTGCAAACCGAGGGACCATTGGTGGTTATTTCCTGGCAGGCAGGTCCATGAGTTGGTGGCCGGTGAGTGCCCTCACACATCCCCCAACCCACATCCCCCTGTCATCTTCTCTTGCCTGAGCCAAGGTACCAGCCTCCCATTGGGGTTCCCAATTTTAGACTCCTCTGTCACCCTAATCTACCCCACACTCCAAGTGGCCTTAATAACACAGTTTGACAAGCCCCACTAGAACCTTCTGAGTGTGGGTCCTAGGCTTTTTCTAGACCCACAGAAATAAAGCTAGAGTGTCCCTACCCTAGAGTAGCTCAGAGCTGAGTGGACAGACGGACTCATGAGCAACATGATTAAAGCTGGGCTAGACAAAACCCTCAGGGTCTCTTGAGAGCTTCAAGGTTGCCCCTGCACTGGGCAGTAGGCTGCATTTTTGCGGGGTAAGCTCCTTGGGAAGGAGCCATTGAATAAATAGTCAAGTGAGGAGATTGAGGAGCACAGTCCCTGACTCCACATGAAACTAATCCCTCAAGTGTTCCCCCTGTTCTAGCCCATCAGACCACCCCACATTTCTACTGGTCCTTGAAACTCAATAGGATGGAAGGAGATGAGCCCTGTTTGGAAAACTAGTAGTGGACTCATCAGTTCTGGTGGGAAATGAAGCTGTGTGCACACTCAGGCTGTGTGCACACCCAGGCCTGCCAGCCTCACATTCACTCATACACACTCAGGCACCCATACACATTCCTATAGGCCCACATACACACACACTTGCACACTTACACACTTTCCCACTCACACACTCGCACAATCGCACCCTCACACACACTCCCATGCAGTCTTACACATTTTCTCACACTCATTCTCGCATGTCCTCTTACAGTCACAGTCAACCTCGTGCTTCTTACTCTCATGCTCACACACTCATAGTCACGACCCCGCTCTCACACACTCCCTCCAGCACATACTCTAGAGAACTAAACCCATGGAAACAGCTCTGCTTAGCCAGGGACTCCCAAAGGGCAGTCCTGGAACCCACGTAGACACCAAGTACGAAGCTCATCAGGACAGGCTGTTCTGTCCGGCTCAGAAGAAAGCCTAGGCCCTGCTGCCCAAGCTCCAGCCTGCAGAGGGCAGAGTGTTGGCCCATGTGGGCCTGAAGAAAGCCAGGCTTCCAGCAGGAGCTGTCTCAGCAGGGCTCCCAGGGACCCATGAGCCCCACACAGTAAGTGCAGTGTGCTGCTGCCACCCTTGGGGGACCAGTTGTGAACTGTGCCTCCGACACCTGAAGCTTAATCTAACCTGAGCCAGGTTGGGTGCAGTTCCAACCCCAGATGCCTGAAATAATTAACTCCATGCTCAGTTCAGCACTACTGCAGCAGCGTGCCCAGGGGTCTTTCTTGCCTGTGCTGACGCTGTGCCCCTGCAGAGTGGCCCAGCAAGGCTGTCAGCAGAAGAATAGCAGCCATCCCTGCTCAGAGAGGCCTGCGTGCTCCTCTTCTTCTTACCTTCCACATCTCCTGGATTAGGAGCGGGGCGTCCCGGGGAGGGTGAGATGGGCATGCCTCTTTCCTAGGAGAACCTTCTCTCCCGCAGCAGGGACCATGCACTCTCTCTTCTGGCCCAAGGCTCCAGTCCATCCCTACCATCACCGTCGGGCCACCAGAGAGTGAGAGTATAAATGCATGCAAATGTCTGCATGTGTGTGTAAGAGAATATGTGTAAGTATATGTAGGTATGTGCATGCGAATGTATGTATGTGAGTGTGCACATGTGTAAGCATATGTACCTATATGGAATGTGTGTGAATGCAAGTTAGGTGTATAAGTGCATATGTGAGAGCAAGTATACATGAGTGTATGTGTATACATGTGGGTTTTCCTGTGTGAGTACATGTGCATGTGTGAACATGTGTATGTGAGTGTGCAGATGCAAGCAAGGGAGTGCATGTGAGTGTATATGTGTGAATGTGTGTGCGTGCGTGTGCACATATGTGTGTGTGCACGTGTGTGTGTGAGCAGCACAAGGGACTCAGCAAGGTAAGGTCCCTCGCTTCCACACCTTTGCATGCCCTGCCACTTCCCGTCTGAATGCCTCAGCCTTCAGACTTCTTACAGCCAGCCCCTCCCTACACCCTGGAAGAATGCACACTGGGAAAGAATGCACCCAGGTTCTTAGATGCTGAAGGTGAGGCTGTGTGAGAGGAAATGATTCTACCGAGGAGACACACGGTACAAAGCTGAGCACCCAGGCCTGCCCCAAGGCCTCCCCAGCCTCAGAGCCCCACCTCTGCCCCCTCCTCCCTCTCAGTGCTGGATTCCATCTAATAATAAGCACCAACATGGAGTAACTTCTTACCAGGGGCTTTGCACAGTGGTTATGGGAGCCAGACAGCCAAGACTTTAATCTTCACTTGGTCACTTGGAAAAGTTTCTTATCAAGGCCTCGGTTTGCTCAGAAGTAATATGTGGAAAACTGTGATAGTTTTCTGCTATGGCTACAAATACCTAAGATGATTAACTTGTGAAAAAAGGAATATTTCTTTCCACCTTTCCCCTCATCCCATGGCTAGGGAGTAAGAAGAAAAGAGGATTCTCTCCAAGGGTCACCTCCAATGATCTGTGGCTTCTCACCACCTAACACAGCAATGACAGTACCTGCCTTTATCGGGTTGTTATGAGGATTAACTGAGCTTATATGTCCAGTGCTGGGCAATACTGTGTAAGTGCTGTCTGCTGTGATCCTTGTCACCATAATTACCATTATCTTCCCTTCTTTAACCTTACATGACTTGGCCTCCCCTCTGAAGAAGAATAGGCAACTCAGAGGCCGGCCTGACATGTGCTCAGCCTCTGGGTCCCTCCTCTGCCCAGTCTTGCCATGGAATCTGCCCTATGAAAGCTGCCTGCCCACCTCCTTCTTCTTCTTCTGCCTGGAGGGTCTTCTGCCTGGAGGGTCTGAGGTTGATTCCCCCTGCTGGCCCTGTGCTCACTTTGCCACTTCTTCACTCGGTGGACTGGAGTCTGTGGCTTCATTTGTCCTAACATCAGTTCTTTCCTGTATAAATTTGGAAGGCTCCTCCTTCTGGCCATTTGTGGAGGTTAAATGCATTAGGGCATATAAAGTGCTCGGTGCAGTGTCAAATAAATGTCAACTCCATGCCGTCTCCCATGCTAGTGGTCCTGACCCCAGATCAATTGAGATTAACCTTGACCTCTGACCTTTGATCCTACTTGTGCCTTGCAGATTGGAGCATCTCTGATGTCCAGCAATGTGGGCAGTGGCTTGTTCATCGGCCTGGCTGGCACAGGGGCTGCTGGGGGCCTCGCTGTGGGTGGCTTTGAGTGGAATGTAAGGAAACTCTCATGGCTGCTCCAGGACAATGGGGGTCAGAGCTCACCCCCTCCCCAACCTTAGTGTTGAGATAATCCTTAGAGGAATTTGGGAGGCTTCCTGGTGAATGGTAACTCATCACACAGATGAGGAAAACAAGAGTGGGTGGGTCCTGGGTCCCTCCCTTTCCTACTGAAGGATCTCGCACAGTACTCAATAGCTGTAGGAGGCTTCTCTCTGACATTGTCTGAAATCTCATTACCTTCTTCTTATTTTCTCAGGCAACCTTCCTGCTTGTGGCCCTTGGTTGGATCTTTGTCCCTGTGTACATTGCAGCTGGTGTGGTCACTACGCCACAGTACCTCAAGAAGCGATTTGGGGGTGAAAGGATCCAGGTGTATATGTCTGTCCTGTCTCTCATCCTCTACATCTTCACCAAGATATCGGTGGGTATCACTCCAAGGGGTCTGCTTGTCTCTGTGTATTGCCACGGGCTTGAGGCTGACAGGCAGCTCACATTCACAGTTTGGATGGATGGGTGAATGGGAAGATGGAAGGGAGGGAGGAAAGGATGATAAAGGAAAGGTGGAAGGGAGGAAGAGGGGTAGATGGATGGCTGGAGAGAGAAGGAAGGATAAAAGAAGAGGAGGCTACATCCACTCACTTTCATTGTGTGCTCCCTTTGGCACTGGGACAATCAGAGAAGAACGATAAATGTTTTAAGTGCATGACAGCTCTTCTTAAAAAAACAAAGATCACAATCTAGAGTTCATGCTCATTTATCTTTATATTAGTTGGTTCTTCATCAGCAACTATTCACTCAGTGTTAGTTAAAAGAGCTTAATGGGTCCGGTCTGCTTGCAGACTGACATCTTCTCTGGAGCCCTCTTCATCCAGATGGCTTTGGGCTGGAACCTCTACCTCTCCACAGGGATCCTGCTCGTGGTGACAGCTATCTACACCATCACAGGTAGGGCCGAACCTGAACATCAGAAAAAGCTAGAGAGGGAAGCTTCTGACTGGTAGACAGAGAGAAAGATTGAAAGATGGACAACCTGAGTGGGACAGAGAAGATCTGTCCTGAGAGAGAGATAGAGAAGAGAAAGACAGTCAACTGGGGCCAAGGCAATGATACAGGAAATCAAAAAACCAGGGAACAAACTGTGGGACACAGTGGTACAGGAAAAGGGAGAGGAAAGGGGCAGAAATGGGGAATCCATACCAGACTGAGACCAGGAGAGATGTGAAGAGGCACTAGAAAAGACCACCTGCCCCACGGAGAGATTAGGAAGCTGTTGTCTGGGCCAGAGTTATGGTGAGCTGCCCCAGCAAATGCAGACAGGCCCACACTGTTTCCTCCAAAAGGTGTCACACAGGACGGGCACCTTGGGTCACCAGCATGGGACAAACAGACTTACTTAGGACTATGTTAGCCTTGAAAGCTGGGGGCATTTGGATAGACACCAGTTGGGAGGAGAAAGAATCAAGCATCCCTGGTTGAGCTAACAGCATAAGCAAAGGACAGGATTTGGGTCACTGATGACAGAAACCAAAAGCCATGGCATGATGGCTGTGGCAAGATACTGCCAGAGACAGGAAGAGCCACATGAACACACTGAAGTGTGGCCAGGCTCTGTCCTTCTGAGTGGGGTGCTTGGAAGTGCTAGATATAGAGAAATGCAGGTGACCAGAGCCACTGCTAAGAAGCCACTGTGTCTTCCCTGGCCTGCTCAGTGTAACCAGACACAGGTGGGCACCCAGAGCAGGACCGATGTTGGTGCTGATTGATGTGCCCTCTCTTTGGATCACCAGGGGGCCTCACGGCCGTGATCTACACAGATGCTCTGCAGACAGTGATCATGGTAGGGGGAGCCCTGGTCCTCATGTTTCTAGGTAAGGAAGAGACCTAAAGTCACTCACCATCAGCTTTAAATTCTTCCTCTGATTTATTTTTGGCACCTCAATGGCTTACCTGGAACTTTCCTGATCATAGAGTCACGCCCTGTCTCCAAGTCAGGGCTCCCAAAAGGCAGAATTCTCCCTACTTCAAACCAAAAGTCTTGAGCCTGAACCCCATCTCCCTTCCTATCCCCAATCTTCAGGTGGGCTCCAACCTAGAGCCCCACGTGGGGCTGGGCACACAGGCTGGGTGGGTCCCAGGGATGTTCTCTCACTGCATCTCTTCCCACAGGCTTTCAGAAGGTAGGCTGGTACCCAGGCCTGCAGCAGCTCTACAGCCAGGCCCTTCCTAATGTCACAGTCCCCAACACCACTTGTCACCTCCCACGGCCAGATGCCTTCCACATGCTTCGTGACCCCGTGAGCGGGGACATTCCCTGGCCAGGGATCATTTTTGGGCTCACAGTACTGGCTACCTGGTGTTGGTGCACAGATCAGGTACGGTGACCAACAGACGTGGCCTGGCCCACCAGGAAGTGGGGTGGCTTCCTGCAGACAAAGTAGGCCTTTGGATGCATAAAAAGTGAGCTTAATTTTGAGACTGGAGTAGGGGGACAGTCAGAGACCAAGGTCAGGGCTCACCAGTGGCTGAGCTGAGCTCCTTCCCTGGACCTGGATCAACATCACTCCATTGCTTCTGCCATTCCAGGTCATTGTGCAGAGGTCTCTGTCTGCCAAGAATCTGTCCCATGCCAAAGGAGGCTCAGTGCTGGGGGGCTACCTGAAAATCCTCCCCATGTTCTTCATCGTCATGCCTGGCATGATCAGCAGGGCCCTGTACCCAGGTGAGAGTGAGCCTTCTCTCTGGGCCTGGGGAGTCAGGACTTGGGAGGGGTTTCCAGAGAAGGTGTTCCTGGGCAGGGTGGACCAGGGAAGCAAGCTTTTTCTATGAAGATCTCATTCCAAGCATTTAGAACTTAAAAGCCATTAAATAAGTATTTCAACAGAGTAAATTCAATGTTATTTCAAAATCTTCCTTCCTCTTAAAAAAAAGCAAGGCATTCTTGACCCCTTCCAAGAATATTTACTTTTATCAATGTATGTCATAAAACTCAAAGGAATTTATCCCATGTTGCAGAGCAGTATGCATCACAGACAAGAAATTCACCAAAGAGCCAAACTACTTGCCCATTGACCTTTTAGACAAGGTCAGAATTTCCGGTGAAAATTTTCCTGTAGTGCCAGAAAGCAAATATTGGGCCATCCTGAGAGGGACAGGATCATAACTCCAACTACTGCGCTGTCTTCTGCAGATGAGGTGGGCTGTGTGGATCCTGATGTCTGCCAAAGAGTGTGTGGGGCCCGCGTGGGATGTTCCAACATCGCCTATCCCAAGCTGGTCATGGCTCTCATGCCCATAGGTGAGTCCCATCTTGCACACTCCACTGTCTACTCCCACCTGGACCCCTCTGATGAGGAATTGTGCTACGGATGGAAGGGAAGAGGGAAGAGTTTCTGTACCCTGCATGTTACACACACACACACACAATCACACTTTCCCAAGCCTTTGTAAGGTGTCTGTTTTTGCCTGGTGTTGAAGATGTGGAGGGAAGAGGCAGGTCCAAGCCCTCAGACTTCACACAGTGTCTAAGGTACCTGTGCTCAGTAAGGTACCTTACAGTGAAAGGTAACTTGGAAGTAAGGGCACAGCACAGGAAAAAAGCAGAGCAGAGGCACAAAGAGCATTTCACACAGAGCCAGAGGGCATAGAACATGTTCTAAGCAGGAGGCATTGTGAGTGCCAACACCCAGGAGTGACAGCCGAATGAGAGGAACCCAGTGTAAACGCAGTGGCAAGGAGCAATGAAGATGACCTTCCTGAGAGGGTGCCACGGCCCAGCCTTGTTCTGCAATGGATTCTTCTCTCTGGGGACAGTAGAGGGCACTGAGGGTGGAGGCCAGAGCAAGACGGTGGATTTGTGCTTCAGAAGAACCACTCTGATGGAGGACTTAGCAAGGGTACAGGCTCTGGCAGGACAGGGGTACATCAGGGAGATGTCTGCAGGTGGACAGGGGCGTGGCACTGGTGGTTTCACCAAGGGATTGACCTTAGAGATGGAGACAGGGTATTTAAAGATGTGTGTGAAGCTGTTAGCAGGATTGGGATTACTGTATTTCAGGGGGCAGACGAGTCAAAGCAGGCTCCCGGGCCTCCACCTTAGAAGGCAGGTTTACAACACTATTAAGATTGAGGAGATGAAAGGCAACAGATGAGTGGGCCCATTCCCTCCTTATGGTAAAATGAGAAGTAAATCAAGGACACAGTGGAGATGGTGGGAGGCCAAGCTAGACAGACCAGTCTCTGAAGTGAGACCGAAGAAGGATGGGGAGAGAGGAGAGCCAAGGAAGGGGCCTAGGGTCCAGGGTTCTGCTGGGAGCCGGGAGGCTTTAGTAACCGAGAGGGAGGCAGAAGGCCATAGGAAGGTGAGCACTTGTGTCTAGAACCTGAATCCAAGATCGCTGTGAAGCTTCCAGCGTGACACTCAGGATGTGGTTAGATACATGGACTTTGTGGTAAAGAGGCTGAAGCGGGACCGGGGCAGGAAGGCATCTGTCCAGGTGAAAAGCAGGCCCAGAACATGCATGAAATGCATCCAAAGATCATCCATGTAGCGGGTTATTTGTACAGCCAGGAAACAGCCCCAAGCTTCTGCTTCCTTGTAGGACTTTAGCCGGACATTGCAAAGCGGTGGAACAAAACCCTGAAAAATGAGAAAGAGACACAAGGACCAGGGATATAACTCAGTGGCACCACGCTTGTCTAGCAAGCACAAGGTCCTGAGTTTCATTCCCAGTATGAGAGAGATAGATTGGGGTGGGGGTGGGGCGGAGAAAGAGAATACAAAAGAAGAAAAATTTTTAAAAGGCACTAGCCACAGCCTCCCTCCTCAGCTCCAAGACTCCGCTGATGGTCACTTGCTGTGAAGACAGACTTCGTTTTCAAAACTGCAGGAACCCTCACAGATCACTCAGTATCCTACACTCATGGTGCAGATGAGGACACTGAGGCCCTGGCAGGGCTGTGAGCTGTCCAAGGCCACAAGGCAAGGGAGAGGCAAAACACGGCCAGAAACTGGCCAGGAGCTTTACAGGCTCCTGATTCCTTGTCTGTACTAGAAAGGAACCATTTCCCCACCAGCCCAGCCCAAAGTCCTGGCTCTGCAGCAGCAGCCCCGCCCAGGCGGAGCTGGTCTTTAAGACCTGCTGTCTCTCATATCTTGTGTTGCTTACTTTGCTCTCATTGCGGGGACAAAATACCTGACACCCAAAATTGGGGAAGGAAAAGTTTATTTAGCTCACAGTTGGTGGATTTTAAGAGTCTGTAACCAGCTGGCTCCAAGGCAGGGTGGCAAGGCACAGGGGCAGCACTTCAGGGTGGCACTAGACAGCAAAGCAGCAAGAGAAGACAGGAGGAAGACAAAGACTGTGTTCCTTCCTCATATTCTACGCAGGGCACCCCACCCAGGGCAGGTGTAGCACTGTGAGTCACAGAATTTCCTTGTCCTCCTCTTGCACACGATGAGGATGTTTACAAAATAAAGACCCTTCTAAGCTTCTCAAGTTGGCACAACGCATCAACCATAACACACCTCATCTCTTCCCAGGTCTGCGGGGCCTGATGATCGCGGTGATCATGGCGGCCCTCATGAGCTCCTTCACCTCCATCTTCAACAGCAGCAGCACCCTGTTCGCCATCGACGTGTGGCAGCGTTTCCGCAGGAGGGCCACAGAGCAGGAGCTGATGGTGGTGGGCAGGTGTGTGCGCCAGGCCTTGCATCTCCCGGTGGCGGGGGCTCCCCTCTGCTTTCCCCTCTGCCCGCCCTGGGTTGCCCAGGAGAGGGGCTGGGGTTGGGCCTGAAGCAGCACCCAGGGCACTGCATGACCTCAGCCGCGCTCTGCCTCCAGAACACTCCTCCCCTGCAGAATAACAGGGAGAAGGCACTCTTGCCCGGCTTTGCACTCTGCCTTGCACTGCATCAGTGGGGTGATTGAGAGATGACAGAGCACTTGAGAAGTGAGAGGTGGAGAATGTGAGTCAGAGGAAAGAAACTCACCCTGGGGCCTTTTGGGTCAACTCTTCCTGCCACCCCAGGATAATGGCGGTGTTTAATCCAATCACTCAGGCTCACTCCAGATACACACCTCGGGCCACATCCTTGTGCTAGGAACCAGGAGAACCGGGGGAGGTTCATATTCTGATGAGCAGGGCAGAAATGGGCATGTTACACAGCATTAGCACGGCACCTGCCTCAAGAGAGATGGTCACAGCGAAGTTGTCTCCAAATGATGCAGAGCCTTGAATGTTGCATGATAAAACTTGAACTGTACCTTGTAGGTATTAGTTACTCTTTTAAAATCATAACTGAGCAGTTAATTTGTCTTGTTCTCCATAGGCTGGGAATTTAGAGTCTGTGTAGAGCTACGAAGGTCTTTGTAGGATCTCTGCCTCATAGTTTAAGGCTCCCTACTCAGGCCTCTAACTAAGGCTATGCACTCTTGTTTTGACAGGTAGGAACTGAGGTCAGTCAGTTTGCTCTTGGAGTCTCCCTGCCTCTGCATTTGCCATTCCTATCATCTGGTGCCTTCTGCTGCCTGTTAATCTCTGCAGCCCAGCCCTAGCCACGAGCAGCGAGCCCCTGAGATCTTAGAGTAGGACAAGAGGAAGTTGAGACACGTGGGTAATTGCTGCTTTCTTGGAGCCTGAGAGAGGAAAAATAGGGGAAAAGAAGTGAGGACAAGTGTGCATAGATTTAGGCACGTGTATCAGCAATCAATGGGATTCGGTCGCCATCTCCTGGCAACATGTATTATTGCATCCAGCACGTCCAAGAAAAAAAAAATGTTTCAAAACAAATTGTGCATCTCCAAATTCACACCTCCAGAGCCCTTTGGTGATTTAAGCCCGAGTAAGGATCAGTTTAAGTGGATCGAGCGAGAAGGTAGGAAAGGTCTGAGCTGAAGGAGCCTGGGGAAGGGAGAAGTCCCAGGACTGGGACCATAAAGGGGCTGTGTCCTTCAACAGCCTGGAGGTCAGAGGAGGAAATATATCCCCAAGCAAGGCTGAAGGCCTTTCCCTAGGTCGGGTGCAGTGAAGCTGTGGGTTAGGGTGGACGGCATGATCGCCAAGAGTCCGGTATGCACATAACAAGTCTAAGTCTGTAGAATTCTGACTGTCTCACATTCAGAAATTCTGATTTCTGGAGTGTTGACAGTCGGAACTTCTGCGCCTGCACCATAGTATTTGGGATTATGACTTTCTTGCTTGTGACCCAGAGGCCTCTCTTGTCCCTTCTGGTTCCCACGCATCACCTTCAGGAGACCCTGTGCCGTGTGCCACGCCACACCCCCCAGCACCTGTGCTCTCCTGCAGGGTGTTTGTGGTGTTCCTGGTGGTCGTCAGCATCCTCTGGATCCCCATCATCCAGAGCTCCAGCAGCGGGCAGCTCTTCGACTACATCCAGTCTGTCACTAGCTACCTGGCACCGCCCGTCACTGCCCTCTTCCTGCTGGCCATCTTCTGCAGGAGAGTCACAGAGCCTGTGAGTGAAGCCTTTCCATCTCTTGCCCCCAGCTAAGGTTCTGGAGTCCTGCTCTGTCCCTCACCTGGTCTCCATCTGTGGGAGCAAATCCACAGCCCGCTCTAGGATTCCATCCTCCTGACCCTAGAGTCAGGCCTGGATTCATTCACTCACACAGAAAACACTGAGCAATGGGATTATGGCCACTCGGGGGGTACAGTGGTTTACAACATTCACATAGGTCTGTCATGGCTGGGCCCTCAGAATCGAGAGATGATTAAGTAACCAATAACGATAAAGCAAAAGGGCTACTGAGAGATTGAAATGCACAAATTCTAACTTATGAGTTTCCTGGAGTGAGGTCAGGGAAGGCTTCCTGGAGGAAATGGCATCTGAGCTGAGACCTGCAGGGCTAATGGGAGGAGGAGATTGTTCCACACAAGAGGAGCATTCATGTGAAAGTGCAGGACAGACCAGAGGTCTCTGACTCTGTAGTGGTCTATATATAAATCAAATAATAGAATGAGAATGTTGTTTGACACCCACACCAAACACAACAACAACAACACCAAAAAAAAAAAAAAAAACCAGAATGAGCTGATGATGAAGTGTGAACTCTCACAGGGGTTGGCCCCACATGCACCATTCACACAACTGCCCTGAAACTGACAGAAGCCTTGGAGGAAGCTAGAAGACCAGAGGCTTTCTTGTTTCTCAGGATAGACTAGGGAAGACAGCCCCAATCTGCTGGCTGTACCTTGGGACATCAAAGTAGTCTCTGGACTGATGTGAAAATTCGCAAGACCGATGTCAAGGTCATTGCGGAGGGGATCTTAGAGATTCCCCCTGGACAGCCTGGGTAGGTGACGTGTCATGTTTGCAGAATCTAATCTGAGTATGTGAGGTGTCTCCTGTTTGCAGGGCCCAGTTTCTCCTGCATGGTTCTGCTCATTTTAGACTGTTGAAGTCAGAATTAATAGCTCATTTTCAAAATACAGGTCATCTATACCTATTAGGGAAGGGTAGTGTAGAGACAATGCAATTATAATAAATGTGAAGTGCCAGAGATTTTCTTTGTTATGATAAATCCAAATTCTGACTTAACATAACAAACAGCTTTGAAGGGGATCCAGGTACTCTTATCACAAAAACAGTCCATTCTATTTGAATATGGTACATCTATCACGTAGTACTGATGAACTTCTTTTTGCTCGCACGCAAGAAATTTCCGACCTAGTAAGGCCAAGCCATTGGCTCAGAGCCATTTAGAAAGGAGCCAGATTCACGTTCTAGGCCACCTCTGAAGCTGATAGCCTTTTTAACGCCCTGCTTTGTTGGTGTTTTCAGTTAAGACAAAGCCTCAGTATTGCCAGGAAACTCACCAAGAAGGACTTGGCCAACACTGTAATCAGTCAGTGGAGGGAGCTTTGGGGAGAGCAGGTTTTAGCTTCCTGGTGTCCCCTCCCTCCAATCTCACCCCTACCCATGTCACCCTCTCTCCGTAGGGAGCCTTTTGGGGCCTCATGTTTGGCCTGGGAGTGGGCCTTCTGCGCATGATCCTCGAGTTCTCTTACCCAGCCCCAGCTTGTGGTGAGGTGGACCGGAGGCCAGCCGTGCTGAAGGACTTCCACTATCTGTACTTTGCCCTGCTTCTCTGTGGGCTCACTGCAATCGTCATTGTCATCATCAGCCTCTGTACGACACCCATCCCTGAGGAAAAGGCAAGTGGTGCTCTCATGATGAGCACGCATCCACCCTACGCGCTCAGGGTCTGCAAATCCACCACTGGCCTTTACCCTCATGAACAATGGTGTCTCCTGCTGCCACATAGACATCCTTGGGAGCTGGGGCTCTTTGGAATGTGAATTTCCAAGTGAAAAGACACTCATTCAATTTAAAAATTACTCAGAGGTACACACTGTGTACCAGGCACTGTGATAGGCTTACAAAGACAGATGGTTCCTGTCAGCAATTGTCCTGGGGCAGGGAGGAACAGACTCCAGCACCCAACATTAATATGCACAGGGAAGGTGCAGGGGTACCAGGCTCAAGGGGAGGGGCCAAACTCAGGAGAGAGGTGGTCTTCACCTGGGGCCCATGAAAGGGAAAAGTAGAGGTTTATTTAATGGTCAAGAACCAAATACACAGAGGAGAAACAGAGTGTGCTGGATCAAGAGTTCTATCTTGCCTGCCTTGAGCTGACAGATGTACCCATCTTAGAATGTTGAAACCCAGTCTTAGGAAGTTCCTTCCCCCAACCCAGAGTCTGAGTTAGTTTCCTAGGGCTTCCATAAATGAGGACCATAAACTGTGGCTTAAGCATCTCTCAACTCTGGAGGCTGAAAACCTGAGCCCAAAGCGTCAGGAGGCCCGGTGTGTCCAGGAGTCCCTTTGTGTCTTCACATGATCTTTGCTGTGTCTGCCTGAGACCTAAACTCTTTTTTAAGGACACCAGTGATGACGGATTAGCGTCCATCCATATCCCCCCATTTATCTTAATTATGTTTATAGGGTTTCTATCTCTGACTGCGGTTGTGTCCTGGGGTACTAGGGACTAAGACTTCAGTACGTGAATTTCCAAACCTTGAGGTTTGCACGCCTGCAGGCACTGCCTTCAAACGTGATCTCCTGCTGCTGAGACCTCAAGGTCTCCACGTCTGCCTTGTCATGCTTCACACTGAGGTTTCTCCTTGATCCTGTCCTCTGGTGACTGCCACCTCCTTCTTCTCCCATCAACTGTAACCTCGGTGAAGAGCGGCCTCCATTCCCACCACTTGTCTATTTTGCAACCCGCTGTGCTCTGGTGTTGTTCCCAGAAGCCCACTGAAATTGTCCTCATTGAGGTCACTTACAACTTTGGGTTGGTAAAAAATCAGTGGTCATGTCTCTTCCTCTGCCTTCCCCACTGCCTGTTGTACCGGAAGACCTCGCTTCTAGTCACTTCTAAGATGCATTTTCCTCCTGTTTGCCTTTTCCTACTCTTCTGCTCACTCTTCTGACTTCGCAGGCTTTTCTTTCTGCCCCCTTAAACGTCATTTTTTCTTAGGAGCCCGTATCTGCATATAACCCTTCTGGCTCTCAATGCCTGGGGCTGCCAATTCAACAACTTTCTGTATAAAGCAACTCTCAGTTCTCTATCTCCAGCCCAAATCCCTCTCCCAAGATTCAAACTCCACATCCATCTGTCTCTTAGTGACATGAAGTCAAGGTCTGTGTGATGCTACTGACTCACAGTGTGAGAAGAAAGTAGGGTTTATGGAGAGATGTGCACAAGTAAAGAAGCTGCCCAGGCTCTCACAGAGAGGCATGCCTGGCCCTGGCCTCTCTGGACACAATTGCAAGTTGGAAGTTGGGACGGGGCGGAGATGATTGTTACAAAGGCCTAGCCAGGGGAAGAGCCCACTCCTGGCCTCTGGGGAAGAGAGATGTTTCAGGGCCCAGGTGCTCATGGCTGACTCCAGTGCCACTCACATCGGCTGGAGAATTTGTGTGCTTTGTCTGCAGGGCAGACATAAAGAGAGGAAAGGGCAACCTGAGGGACACAGATTTGTTTCTCTTCACTGGATGTCTCCACTTGAAGCTGATACACCCCCTCATCGTCACCTTGTAGTTATGTGTGTAGATGTTCCCTTTCTCTTCTCTCAGCCTTTTTGATAAGCACCAGAATCTTCTTCTATGCTGAGCCTTCTGTCCCTGGGAGGGACCCTGCTATCCTCTGGTCATCCATGGCTGGAACTCAAGAGCAGCCAGAGAGGCCCCCCCCAACCCCCAGCTCATTCAATCAATCACCTCGTGCTGCAGATTTTACCTCCCTAGGATCCCTTAAGACTGCTCCTCCCACCCATTTCCTCATGCAATCTTTCTCACTTCACCTTTCCCAGAATCTCCAGCCTGGATCCCTACCCTCTGCCTAGAGAGATCTTCAAAACTTTACCTAGACTTTACAAATCCTCCTATTGATCTAAGGTCTGAGGTTTCTCTACCTGGAAGGAGTGTGGGGTTCTCTAAGTGTCAGTTCTCTACCTGACCTGCAAAGCCTGTTGTGGTCCAGTGCCTGCCTTCCTGTCCCGCCTTGTTCCTCTCTGTCCATGAGCTTCATGAGAGCAGGGCCCAGGTCTGTATTCAGCCAGTGGAGAGTGGGTACTTGAGAAGCACTCTTATTTGAAGAAAGGGACACCCACCATCTAAGATATGACTCCTGGCCTCTGACCCCAGCCTGATTCTTCATACACTTTGCTGTGGCTCTGAAGCCTCCCATGCATCGGGCCTTCCTCCACAGCAGGACTTTCTCCAAATGCACTGCTTCCAGATGGTATTTTCTCTCTCTCTCTAGCTCACTCCCTTGACCTGGTGGACACGAAACTGCCCCACCTCTGAGCTGGAGAAGGGGGCCTGCGAGAGCCAGAGCGAGAGGGAGAGTGTGCCAGGGAGGTCTGAGAGACTGGTCCAGGAAAGCCTCTCAGGAAGAGTCGCCCCAGGGAACTGCAGCCAGGGCCCAGAGCAGCCCGGAGGTAGGCTGAGGGGTTTCTGGGGAGAGTGTGCCACAGAGGAGCAGTAGGGGTGGTCACCATGTCCTGGGTGTCCCACAGTCCCTCTCAGGGGTCATTGGAGATGGAGGTCTCTGAGACAGCCCCCCAAATATTTTTCCACATGACTATTGAAATGTTTGCAAATTAAGACAGCTGAGTATGGCAGACAGGAGCCAAACTATTGCCCTCACTACCAATAACATGTCAGTGGGAAGGTTCATTGCATATCAACTAATGTTAGACAGAGGTGCCCATCTAGTCACCCACAGATCGGACAAGAGCATAGCCAGCCTCCCGTGAGGATGGGTGGGGCTGAGACAATCCGTGTGCCTGTGGAGTTCCCTTCACACAGAAGAAAAGGTCAACATGATACAGAAACACCCTTGTCCCCACCCCTACTGACTTGTTTCTTTCTCATTGGGCTTAACATTCCTGCCTGTCATCTCAAGGAGCATAGCTGCCCTCATGGGAAGAGCACAGCCAAGTGTGCCCTCCTGAAGTTGCCCAGTGCAACCCCACTTCTCTGTGTGTCTCCTTGAAATGCTGATGGCCGTATAAACAGTCTCCCAAAGATTCTGAAATGCGTTATGGTAGCACATTAACTAAATTACTATACTGTTGGATGTCTTTTGGACACTACTCAGTTGTAATCTTCCTGTAGGGAGATTAAATAACAATATTAAGGCATTCTAAAGATAGAAGAGCATAATAGAGATTTTTCAATTATAGTGTTCCCAAGGAAAATTTTTAAATCCAAAAAGTAACATACAGTTTACAGGTTTAAGTCCAAAATCAATTTATCTTGGCCTTATAAATTAGAAATTCAAGGAAATTTAAATTCTACATTTCTTTCCTGCTTCAGTTAGATAGTGTCCCAGTGCCTGGTTGGAGTTGGGGTTCTCTGGACAGCTACTTTCTCCCATCAGACTGGGTGAGCTGTCTATTCTCTCTCCCAGTCTTTGGAGCACCAAACTTCCATAATTCCAGTGGGTTAGGTGGACAGACAGAATTATCGAAGCATCTTTGCTGGACTTGCATGGTTGGCAACACTCTGCCACTCTGTCCTTGTGCTTTTGCTAGTTTCTGGGACCTGTGCTGTCCCCAAGGCCCAAGGGGTTACCACTATTCTTGGAGGCCCTTACTCTAGACAGCGATAAGCGTAGCATTAATGATGTCCCAAACTCCAAAACCTCATCAGGACCTAAAGCTCAAAGCTTCTTGCTCACGCTGCAACAGTTAAGTCCGTAGTCCACTATAAAAAGCTGTAGATAGCAAGTGTGAATTCTTACAAATTTGTCTGATCAAAACACACTTGGACTGACTTCGGAAAGCACACCCGTGACTGGCTCACCCCCGCTCCCAGTCTTAACAGGGCACCAAGTAGTTAAGGCCTATTTTCCTCTGCAAAATGTAGCCCTTGTCTCTTTGACAAGCTTCATGGCGCATGCGCCAGGTGTGTTTGTGTGTAGAGGGGGCTCAAAACTACTTCCTGCCATCACTGCAAAGACCCAGCTCTGGCCACGTCAAAGCTTGTGGAATGGGAAAAGAAGCCTGTGAGCCTGAACTTAGTACAGGAAAAGCAGCTAACAGGAGAAGGAAGAATGACTTCAACATGTCTCCTGGAGACAAAGAAGAGGTAACAACTGTACTGCCCCCCTGGAAGCCAGAGCTAGACTGACTCACAAAGACTCAGAGGACCAGCCCTCTTCTCTGCTACCCGCACTGCAGGCCAGAGCCATTCCTAGAGGAGCAGGGAAGGATGAATGCTCCCTGTGGGTAGATGCACCCAGGGAAGGAAAAGGAGGCACCTGGAGGACCAGAACCCACGCCAAGCCTGACCAGACATCCTGCCACAAGAAAGAAGCTTTATTGGGTGGGAGTGGGCTGCCTTGTGGACCACAACAGCCACTGTTTGGCTTGGGGAAAGGGTTTTAAAGGGTTGTTCTTGGGAGGGGTCTCTGTGGGTGACCCAGTTGTGAGCAGCAGAATGTGACACAGTCATCATCAGCTACCCTCCTGGGTAGGGTTGACTTTTGAGGCTGGAACAGTTCTGGAAAGTTTCTTTTCTTGCAACCCAAGCATGAATATGCTCCGGGGGGAGGCCGACCCTTTAGCACTGAGTCAACCATAAAGCCTCAAGAAAGAATTCCATGCTCCATGTCCTTCTATCACAATCCCCAGTGCAGAGGGCAAGCCTACCTGCTGTGGGAGAAGTCCTTCCCGCCCTGGAATGAAGTGAGCATCGAGAACCTGGAAGACCCATATCCACTCCTCTGGAGGCCTGCAGGTTGATATAGGTCATGCAGTCTAATTTCGAGTCTTAAAAAATTTAAAGGACAATAAATAGATCTGAAAGATATATATATATATATATCTCCTCGGTCCTAGATAGGTGCACATTTATTGAGTTGTTGCACACTGATTTATACCTACTTGGTGATGTGGGCTCATTGCACCTCAGAGGACCACTGTGAGAATCTAGGGAGGAGGTTTGGATTGGCTTTAAAATGATAATTCTCAGTGCAGACATCACTTGATAGAGATCTCACGGGAGCTCTGCAGCCAAGTCACCTGAAACAGCTCTCCCCTCTTTTGTGAGCCATTCTGGACCTTGGTGCTGGACAGTCCTCGCAGAGGAGGAAGTTCAGCCTGAGGGTACCCAGGCTTCCTGCGTGTCTGAAATTGTGAGGCTGCACTGAACTCACCAAGTTCCATATTTCAGTGCTATTCAGATCAAATCCTCACTCTTGGCCATTGCTTTCCATCTCCATGGAAGGCACTTTCCATTAATTTTATGCTTAATACACTGTCTAACTTTAAAGTCCTTAAAAAGACTTGCTTCCTTTACTGCTTCTTTTAAACTTAGTGTTAGGAGCAGTGCTGCCTGTAGCCTTGCTGTGGCGCTCTGCACACTGGGGAGCTTTCCTCTCTGTGACACTACATTCACCAGTTCCTCCCTCTCTGCTCCTGCACTGAAAGCTGGTAAAATGCTATCAAATCTCCACTCTCCTTTGGTGCTCGGAACAGCCCTGAGAACAGGCATATGTCACTGAAGCATTTGAGGGAGAAAGAACATGTTGCTCAGAGGACTGGTGAGACTTACAGATGGGCACACAGTCTGCTGAGGTCAGAGCTGGCCCTGGAGCCAAGTTTCTGACCTCTGGCACAGTGCCCAGCCCCACAGCAGGGCAAAGGTCTGGTCTGTCTGGCTTGAAGGTCCCCTGCCTCCTGAAAGAGACAATGCTCCTCCCCTCCATTGTCATTCTGGACTTAATCTCTGAATTGTGGTGAATTACACTACCCTCTCTCCCCAACACCCTGTCCCGCTCCATGCCACAATGACGTGCTCCTGTGTGGTAACCATTACTATGCTGCGGCCAAGGCCAGAGCTCAGCTGGACCTGTGGTTTGTGCAAAAGGCCCTTCACACTCCCCCCTTGGTTTTTTCACCATTTCCTTCCCGCTCTCTCACCTCTTCCCTTTCCTCACTCTCTCCTCACCTCTCCCCTCCTGCTCCTCTTGTTTCTGGCTCTGTATCCCCAGTCTGCCGCAGGTCCTGGGGAAAGCTGCTGTGGGGTTGGCTCTGTGGGCTCTCTGGAACCCCAGCACAGGTCCTGAGCCCAGCAGAAAAGGCATCTCTGGAACAGAAGCTGACCAGCATCAAGGAAGAACCACTCTGGAGAAGCATCTGCAACATCAATGCCATCCTCCTGCTGGCCATCAACATCTTTCTCTGGGGCTATTTTGCATGACTCCACAGACTCAGCTTCAGCCAAAACCAGCTAAACACAGCGCAAGCCCAGTCGGGTGCAGAGACAGGCTCTCTTCCTACCCTGCCCTGAACTGGAGACCATGGAGGCTGAGCATGGCAGAGATCCATGGAGCGTTAATCTGACATGTTCCACAAGTGGAGAATACAAGGCCCAGAGAGAATTCTGGGTCTGCGCAAGGCCACAGAGCAGCGCTCATTCTGGGCCTCCCAACTCGGGATCCTATACCACTACACTGCCTTACGTTCTTACCTCGTAAAGAGCTTCAACCCTCTTCCTGAGTTTATTCAGGAATCTTTACTGTACATGTGACTTGAGGTTAGAAAAATGGAGGATACAAGAAAGATAACAGGAAAAAAATTTGTGAAACTCCAAGTGCACCTTTCTCCTCCACCTCCCCTAACCTCTCTTTCTCTAATTTTCAGCCCCAGGTAATCTATAGCATGAATCTACCAAGGACAGACTTACATTTCCATCGGTGGCTCTGTCAGAGCTGTTAGACCAAAAAGAATGAGGGTCAAGGGTGGTACTGCAGGGTGATGGCAGGTGGCATTTAGAGCAGGCAGCTCTTGGACAAGGCACTCTGATGGGCACTATTTAAACGTTGCTTCTTCCTACCTTCAAACCCAAACCTGTGTCAAGTCTCCATGAGGAATCTAACAGTCCAGTTGAGAGCCATAACTGTGGAAAGGAAGAGGACTCAAAGCCTTGAAGGTCAACCCTGCAGGGTCAACAAGGACAGCTTCAGAGCCACAGCATGGGGTGCTTTGCCACTCCTTTTGCCACCCAAACCTCTGCCACCATGGAATACACTGAAACCCATCTAAGTATTGGACAGGAAGGTGCCCAGCCAGGAAGCTGTCCAGTGTCCCAAACTGGGTTAGGGTCCCACTCTTGTTTGCATAGCCCCATGGAACAGCTTCTACAAGGTACTGGTCATACCAGCAGTTGTGTTTTCTCCCCCTAGATGGTGTACTCCAAGGAACAGGCACCAACTACTATGTCCAACTTGACTATGTTTCCCAAAATAATATATACCAATAAATGTTTGTTGAATGAATAAATTGTTCAGTGTCCTTTTGTGTTTTGCACTGTGGCTGGCAGGGAAGACCTAGACCTGCTCAGGAGTCACTGGAAGGTGGAGAAGAAAAATCTGAGTGTCAAATGTCTAGGCTGTCACTACAGCCCGGGCCCTCTGGCAGACCCAGATGGA